GAAAGAGTGGATTGCCAAACACCTGTCCGAAAATCATCTGTCCGAAAAACACCTGTCCGAAGAACATCTGTCCGAAAAATCACCCGTCCGAAAAAACATGTGTCCGAAAAAACACTTGTCCGAAAATCGTCTATCCGAAAAATCATATGTCCGAAAAGTCGCCCGTCCAAAAAAAACCAGTCCGAAAAACTAATGTCCGAAGCAGCCAATCGAAACTCTTTTCGAATTACTTAGCCAGTTCCTAAAGGTTCGAGGTGTAACTGCCACCAGATAGCCCCACGTGGGGAAAGCCCCGGAATCGTGACCCAACCAAGTTTCATCGGCCGTATCTCAGGGAATGTCTGCCCGAGCTCATTGAGTCACTCTCCAAAAATTTATGATACAGTAGCGGTTCGTATCCCTGGAAACTACCCTCCCATTTTCTCAAAAATCCGTTTTGAATAGATTACCTGAAGATCTTGGGAAGCTTCAGCCGCACTTCGATTTCAGGCTCCGAAAATGACTTTTCGGACAGTAGATTTTCGGATGGATGATTTTCGGACAGGCGATTTTTCGGACAGGCGACGTTTCGGACGGGTGATTTTTCGGACAGATGTTTTTCGGACAGGCGATTTTTCGGACAGTTGTTTTTCGGACATATGTTTTTCGGACAGGTGTTTTTCGGACAGGTGATCGCCATCCGAAAGAGTGTCTTGGAGGGAGAGTTCGAGAGTTCGAGAATTCAAAAGAGACAGAGGGGGAGAGAGTCAGAATTCAATCCAGAGAGTGAGAGACAGAGAAGCTGTTAAATTGTGATGGAGAAACAGAGAGAGAGAAAAAGAGAGAGTGAGGGTGAATCAGAGAGATACATAGACATCAGAAAATTCAAGCACCCAGCTTCCGACGCTCATTACCACCCTTTTTCAAGTTTCCACCACCATCCCCCTTGGACGCGCCCGGATTGGCGGCCAATGGCCCGGGGTGTGCCAGCTTTGAAGATGCCGCTTGTGAATGGATACCCATTCACACCCATAGACACCCCCATTGGCAGTGAGGAGGCGGAGAAGAAGTGACCCATCACACTCAGTTCACACCAACCAGAACTTACTAGGGTTTGGGGGGTAATGGAGGCTATGGTAGAGAATCAAGGAAGGTCGTGAAGATGAAGGGATGGGTGTTGAATGGTCGGAGTAAAGGGAGGAATCCTTTAGATCTACTATCCAATAGATGGCCCTTATGGCGAGGTCAAGACTCGAAAGGTGAGATTTTTCCATGTACTCGGAGCGCTAAGGAATAAGTTTTTACCGCGAATAAAGGGAGCGAATCCCAATAAATTTTCCGCACGAACGCTACATTGCGTAACCGATTACGCGCTTTAATCGTGACCAAGCGCGGTGCTTACGGGCGTGTCGCGGAGTGGCAAAAGTTTTAGGAGACTCATAGCCTACCAGATTCTATAGTTTATCGTACCTTTAAGGGCGTTTTAACGTCAAAATCTACCCTTTGAATGACTAGGTCTAGTTGCGCAGTTCGCTGTTGCGTTTTTAATACTACTAGAATAAGAGCTGTGTTTAGGGTACCTATGCGTTGTCTAGATCTAGTCTAGCGTCTCTTTAACCTAATTTGTACTATCACATCGTCGACATTTAAAGTAAGCAAATTTGATCTTTATTTTTGGAAATTTTCTGGTTATATTAGATCTCGATGCAGCTTAAAAAGTCCAATGCTAAATCTGGCGCAGAATCGATCGGCCCCAATCATTTTAGCAGTTTTTTCAGTGATCAGCTCATCATGCTGACATCCCGGATGATCGGAAGATTTACAGCCCTTCCCGGGAAGTCTCGAGCCCTGAATAGCCCGGGGGCAACACTCCTCGGGGTTCTCGCAGCGGGGCGCCGCGCGTCTGTCTGATTTGCGGCTGGGAGCCGGGCTTTTTCGGGGGCATTGGGGATGGCCCGAGGCGATGCATGGAGCAGAGTTTATGGCCCAGCAGGTAGGGGCAAGTTGGGGCAAGTTTTAGGTAGCGACGAAGTGATGGAAGTCGGGGGATTGGGGAGATTTTGCCAAAAATGGCCACAATTTTCGCAATTCTCTAGTTTCGAGACCTAGGCGAGAAAAAGAGTAGATTTTCAAGCCCTTGCATTGTTCTCATTTTTACCATCCTGTTTTTTTTTCAGCTTGACCCACCCAACCATAAACAAGTGTTGCTAACGACTCCCCACCCCCGCCATATCACTCTGCCAGCTTATACGGCTCGTCCAGCGTCACCTGCTTATCGAAAAATAAACTGCGATGACCTTCCCCTAGGGGCGACTACACGACAAACCAATAGACACTGCGCAATCTACTCTCCTGTCCATCCGGCCAGGGCTATAAATCCGGGGCGCGCGAGTGGAGGTGAGCTGATAGAGTCCGATAGGACGGGGGCTATCAGACGAGGTGGTGACCTACGGGGGGAGTGAATTAATCTTAAAAAAATGTGGGGGTTGGCTAAAGCTAGTATAGAATTTTCGCTCTATAATTTCAAGCCTAGAATACCTAGAGCTTACCTAGAGCTACAACTTTACATGCAAATTACCACGGACCACGGACGTGAAAGTTCCACGTGAGGGACGGGCTAGAATTAATTTTGAAGGTGCCGGCAAGGCTACACAACATAGGAAAAATGGTATAAAAATTTTATGCTAATCCTTGGAATAGCTAGCAGAGATCCTTGGGGGACAGAATCCTTAGGGGAGTGACATGAAAAGCCCGATCTGGCAGGCCAGCAGAGATTCTTTGGGATATTCGACCTCACGCTAGCTTTCGATACCAGCGACTTATCAGCCAGTAGAACAGAACAGAACTAGAGAGAGCTAGCAGAGATTCTTGGGGGAAATTTCGGAGCATTTACTGCTGTTGCTGGTCCTCCGTTCGGCTCATTTATTAATGAGCGCCCAAGAGAAGCTAGCAGATGTTTTTGGAGATTTTCTCGAGTCTTAAGGCTTGTTTCCGGCCAACACCAAACCTGATCTAATAATGCTCCAACGGCAAGAAACAATCAAACCGAGATCAGCCACTGTTTCGCGCGCGCCACCCCAAATGACGGGTTAGGGCCCTCCCTAACAGTGGGGTGTGGACCCGGGGGTCAAGCCAGATTGCGCGATGGGGCCCTCCCAAATATAGGGGTTAGGCCCCCGGTTGTTTTCGGATCTGGTCCATATTTGATTGGGGGGCCAACTGGGAGGGGGAAGGCGCTAACGAGCTAAAGCTCACAGACTCTCCAGTTGCCACACAATTGTCATTAGTGGCATAAGGGGGATGGTGGGGTATCAGAAAAAAAATTGGGAACGATGGAGAAGGCGTAGTGTTAAGCTGGAGATGATAAATTTCTTTTCCTTCTTCCGATCTTTTATATCAGCCGCATCAAAATTTTTCTGGAAGCTGATCAAATCGACGTTAGACGTTAAATCGACATCTGTCAGGAGAATCCGGAAGCGCAGCCGGTTTCGGAAGACTTTCCGGAAGTCAACCGAGGTGAAAAAGACTTCCGAAAAAAGATCCGAGCTTGAAAAGTCGTCCTGAAAATGGCCTGTGATCCAAAAAAAACTTCCAGAAACTTTTGGGTCAAAAAGAGGCATGAGACGTATTGTGCAGCGGTTCCATCCCTCTCTCTTGCTATCTCTCACTCCCTCCCTCTCTCTCTCTCTCTCTCTCTCTCTCTCTCTCTTTCTTACGCTTTTCTCTGGCTTTCTCTAGCATCTTATAGCGTCAAAAATTTTCAAAAACGATTTTTGCTGGCGACCGCTTGCTGCGTTATCTGGATAAAACGACGTCTTGGGAATATCAGCTGCCAGAATAGACTTATTTATATGCCGAAACCTGTGGAAAGGCTCATTGATCCTCAAAAATCCGCTCAACCCCCAGAATTCCCAAATTCCGCAGCACTCCCCTGTTTGTTGCGCACCACCAGACAGATCCCCGTTCGCGGGTCCCCCAATTCGGGAGGTTCAATGTCTTCTCTGCACCCACCCACTCCATCCCGATTTGGTAGTGTCTACGGTGGTATGGTAGTGTCCCTTTGCCCCTCTTTTGACTGATGGTTTGTGCTGATTCTCGCGTCGTCGCCTTCGTCGTGGTGGCGGCTGTCATCCGCTGTCAGCTGGGGCAAATAGCCGACGCGGGGGCCTTCCTTCACCGTAACACCCACCCGAACGGACTGGACATCCGGTACGGGTCGCACTTGTTGTTTATTTCCCGGTGGGTTCGGTGGCCCATTGCATTCTATCGGAAGTTCTGGAGGTTAGGATACAGTTCCTTGTTCTTTTATGGCACTTTAACTGCATCTGGTAGGTTTCGCTAAGAATTCTTGCTGGCTGGATTTCCGCAGTACACGCTACTAGCAAGGCTTTTCCCGCGATCTCTGCGATCATGCCTAAAAGATCTTTGATATTTATTCCTTCCTACAGAATCTCCGCTAGCTTTCCATTCACGGAATATTTTTCCTCATCTGATTCTCCCAAGGAGCTTCAACTCGGAAGCCTCGTATCGCAAATAATGATTGTTAGCTTGCCTTTTCCTAAGGATTCTCTGCTAGCCACCCTTTTCCCACAAATTTTATTAGCTGACCTTTTACTACGGAATCTCTGATAGTTTGCCTTGTTGCCTTTATCAAAAACGTTTTCTCAAAGAATCTCTGCTCGTCTGCCCTTTCCTAACGAGACTTTGCTAGGCTGCGCTTCCCAAAAACGCCTGCTGGTCTGCCTTTCCCATAGAATTCTGCACGCTTGCCTTTATCGAAAAACACGCTAACTTCCCTGCCCGAAGGTGTCTCTGCTAGCCTGCCCGCAACTCCTAAATCGTCCCTGCTAGCCAGCCTTCCAAATTTGCCTTGTTAGCCAGTTTTTCCTACCCTCACCGGAATCTCTGCTACCCCCATCGTTCGGTTCAAAGCCTTCGTTTGGAAGTTCCTTATAAGGATTTAATTAATAGTATATTTACAGCGTACAGCCAACATCTGAAGTACAGTGGCGGAGTGCAGGATGTCCCGAGTCCGGGGACCACAGGGTCATCAGGTATCGATTTTGTCATAATAGCGAATGGGTAGTATCGAAAATATAACCTTAAATAGGCGTACAGTGATCCGCCGTAGCTAAATAAGTATCAAAAATTCCTATAGAGCCCTGCCCGCTACCAAGACGACTTTGACGCTTACGACTACGGTAACTACGACCAGTACGAGAGGGATGACTATTACGATGAGGAGGGTGCAGGCGGAGAGTACGATACTCACGACAGGAGAAGGGCGTATCCGCCTCAACAGCGAGGTACGTCACCGCAAACTGGGCGTCATCATTTCGCGATTCTTAGGAAACGCAAATTTCGGAGGCTGGGAGGGTGATGATACCTACGAGACGGTACCCCGGCGAGGTGTTCAGCAAATTGAGGTAGGTTTAAAGGGTCAGTTAACGGATGCCTGTATTTGGATAATATACGACTGCGATACGCGACGCACAAGCGCCGCTTCCAATTAAACCCCAAGATTCCAGATCGACAGCTACCACCCTGCTGAGGAAAAATATTCATACCGAGAAGATGGCCGACGCAGTACAGTACGGTAAGTGGGACAGTTTTTAGATATCCACCCAGCAGATAGGTTTGAAAGCTGATCGTTTTAGTTTCAGAACCCGCGAGGGCAGCCCGGTGAAGCGCATCGTAGAAGAAAGGGGCAGTCCGGTGAAGAGTGTTGTCAGGTATGGGATGATACTGCTTTTAGAAGGACTAGGCGACAAAACTCTTTTCGACTTTGCTTGTTCCTTGGAAGGCGCCGTAACGGCACCGTTTACCAAGCACAATTTCAGGGATGACCGCATGCTGCGTGAGTCGCGTAGCGGGAGACATACGGAGGAGAATAGCCCTGTACCACCGCCTCCACCGCCACCGACTGGATATCCCGGCCATGGTAAGCAACAAGGGATTAATTGTTTTCACTTCTAACTCAAAACCATCCAGGATCGATATTTTTCGTATTTTCAGGCCCCCACCATCCCCCAGCCACCCCTGGCCAAAAGAAGGCCGCTCAAGAGCGCGAGCGCCGTGAGCACGAGCAGAGACCAAATGTAGGTTCCCACGCGAAGATATAAACCACTTTTCAAATGTTATTTGTATATTTTCTTCTAGCTCATTGTCAAAAACACGACGATATCAATCGGACCGCCACCGCCAGCCCAGAATAAGGTAAAACTTGCTAGCTTTTGAAAACTCTGGAATTTAGAAAACTTACGATCACTCCCCGGAGCTTCGCCCAGCCCCGCCACAGCACGGAGGGCCCGTGAAAGCCATTCTGAACGCCATCAAGCTGACCAATCCGAGGGAGTTGAGCCCAAAGTCGGAGGATAAGGTGCCGAGGGAGAATCGGGTACGTAGAAATTTTCTAGACATAAAGCGTAAGTATTCGCGTAGGCTCAGACGCAGCTTCATTAACAGTTTGGGTTTTCCAGCAAGAACGCCGTGATGATATCAAGCTACTATCAGCAGCCAATAAGGTATCGACGAATCCCTTCATGAAGAGTAATGAGCGGAAATCGATCGAGCCAGCTGGAAGGCATAACGGACTGCAGAAGCATAATGTACACGAGGTATCACGGATAACCTAAATTTACCACTTGAAAAATGTACTGTAGGTTGTGCATAAGATGAACACCGGCGATTGGCCTATCAAGATTGAAGACGGGGTGAATACGTTGAAGGAACAGAGGTTAGCCTTAATTGGATTTATACTTACGATTTTTCTACTTTGAAATACAAAACCACCTTAGGAATGAGCGTCGAGCCAATCTCGCACCAGCAGTCCCCGCTCATGAACGCTCTGGCTCCAGAAGGGTATCGACAGAACCGGAAGTAAGCCATTGATGATATACGTAATTTTTTTTAACAACTGCAGAATGATCGTGACCGCCGCTACACGGATGAACAGCGCATCCGTGACGAGGAAAGACGTCGGGACGAAGAACGTAATCGCCAGATTGAGGTTTTGAGACCCAGAAAAGGAGCATGAGATTTATAGGAGCAGCGACGTCGTGAGGAGCAGATGAAACAGAGGGAGCGCGACCGTCAGGATGAGAGAAGACGGGAGGAAGAGAAGAAACGAGACGATGATCGGGCGGAAGTGGAAAGATGTAGGGAGGAGGAGCGAAAAATGGCTGAGGTAAGCTTTATTAATTTTGAACCGGAAATCGCTTGCTTTCTAAGGAACGCCGCAAGGAGCAAGAGCGTAGAATGGAGGAGGAGCGGCGAAAGGTTGAGGCTGTAAGTTTAATCAAAATAAATTTGTTACAATAAGTGAAAATTAAGTTTAGTGTGTGTTAAATTTTCTCAGTAGAATAAAATTCAGTGGTTAAAATAATATTCAATCAAAGAAATATCGCAGGAACAACGCCGCCGGGAAGAAGAACAACGCGAGCGAGCCGTTCGGGAAGATGAGGAGAGGCAGAGAAAATTGGCGCATGTAAGCTATTATTTATTAAATTAGTGTTAGTTTTACTGTTTTAGAAAAATGCAAGTGTTATTAAATAAAAAATGCACTCACCAACAAGTTTTAGGAAAGATCCGAACTGGAGCGGATCTCCAATGAAAAACGTCTTGAGGAAGAGCGAGCCTTGGAACGAGCGAGGATTGCACAGGTAAAAACGGAAATTAGACAGCATCGATATTGAAAGGGAATAACGATATTAACAAAGTTTACAAAAAATATAAAAAAGCAAAAAATGCTCTAAGATAGGGGCGTGTATCAACATATACTCTTTTAGAGTGAGCTGAGTTTGTCGTCATCGAGGCATGAGGGCTTGGAAAGGGGGCGGCCTCTTTTTATACCCCCTGTCCCCGGAGTGAGCCAGCCGGGTGGCGTTTCGGGGGCGCGGAGCGAGCAATTCTTAAACTTGATTTCAGGCCGAAAAGGAGGGGCGCCATAGCGCGGATTCTCAATTGGAAGATGGAATTCGTTCTCGGGGGCCATCTAGAGCGCTGAAGAATGCTCGTGAGTTCATATGAACCAGAATAGTACCAAAAACGGCGGGGAAAGGATGAAATCCTATCAATTTAGCTTCTCCATCTGGTTCCTCGCAAAACGGGGATCCCACTTCCGCCTCGACCGACTCGGCCATGGGCTCTGATGAGCTACCACCACCTATGACACCGATAAAGGTATCTAATCATTAAATAACGGCAGTTTCCAGTTCCAGGCGGGCACTACCATTCGGCAATTGCCGGAATCGATCCGCGAGCTTAACGATGAAGCCGAGCGTCTACTTTTGTATTTCAAGAGTCATCGTGAGGTGTTGAATTATCTTGGTGTGTTATTATCATCTTCAATCTATTAAAATAGCTTTTTAAAGTCCTTAAAACCGCTTTTTTAGGTATTGGCCTGTCCGAAACGCTGTGGAGCCATATGAACGCTCTGCCGATGGTCAATACTGAGATTCGATGCCAGGGCGTGGTGGGTACTTTAATGGCTTTAATGATAACTTTTTATAAATTAATAACACATTTGAGATTTCTATAAAGTCATTTTTAAGAAAGAAGTTCCCTCGCAATTCCGGAAGGCCGAACGAGAGGGTCGCAGCGTTCGTCATGAAAAGGTATGCAGGCTTAGAAGTAGGCTTAGCTTAGGTTTAGGCCGAGACTTGGCGTAAGCTTTGCTGTAGTCTCAAAACCACTAAAATTAACCAAATTTTTTATTTCAGCAGGAACGTGTCAACTCGGACAACTCGGCGAAGGTACCGTTGATTCCGGTGAAGCGTTTCTTTGCCTGAATTTCCTGATTTTCTTAATTCCGTTTGTTTTGATGTTGTCGTGCTTTCCCAATATTTGCCCTTCAACCCAATACCCCTTTTTCAAGACCTATTGAAGCTCCCGGAGCCCCCAAAAATCCATAGGGAACCCCCTGTGACCCCGCTATCCCAAAATTTCCGGGTGTGCTTGCGGTGATAAAAAAGTAAAAATCCTATTTGCGGTCGGGAGCTTCAATAAGTCCAAACTCTTAAACATACCAAGTTATTTATGCAAATTTACCAAAAATTTTCCAAAAAAATTGATGTTTGGCGGGATGTTGGTATACGGTATTTAGATGGGTGTGTGAATAAATAGTTCTGGACTTATTGGAGCTTCCGAAACTGCAAAAAAGGATATGTGGGGGAAATAGAGGAGAGCAAGAGGCAGGGAGAGAGAGATTGAGAGAGACAGCCAGATAGATAGAGAGTGAGTGAGAGAGAGAGAGGGGGGAAGAGGGATAGGTCCAAGGAGATAGAGAGGCAACAAAATTAGGCGGGGGACGTGCGGGGAAACGATAGAACGATAGTGAGAAAGAGAGAGAGAGAGAGAGAGAGAGAGAGAGAAAGATATCGCACAATTCTTTATTTTTAGAGCTACCGCCACCGTAACCAGTCCACCGAATCGTACGGCTCGATCAACGTCTCCCTCCTTGAGCGTGCCCTCTGCACCGACGATGTCCATGATGGGGTTCGGAGGAGTCAGGTCTAGGTTTTGTCATGGCAATTAGCCGAAATTATTGAGGAACTGGAGCTTTCGGGGTTAATTTTTAAAGACCGTCAGAACGATGAAATATCGTTTAGAGCAAGAAAGTTGCGCACCGGGCGGGGGTCGGACCCGTGATGGTTCGCTCCACAGTCCGACGCGCTAGCCACTATACGACAGGGCGAAGTGGGAGAGGGTGTCAGAGGCGTCCCAAACCCCAGAGGGTCCTTGCCCAATACGGGGCACCACTAATGACGACCCTCTCTGCGCGTTCTTGGGGGCAGCACCCTCGGGGTGACAGTGCGCGTTCCATCGTTCTGGTAGTCTTTAAGGGAGTAAATTTTATAATGACGATATTGAGCTAAAAACGACCGAAAACTGCCTGATTTCTAGAGATTGTGTACAAATCTACAAGTTTCCAGTCCTCCTCGGCCCTCTCCTCCTACCAAAAAGGCCCCGCCGGCACACTAATGCCTCCGCCGAACTCGCTGAACGCCGCCGCCGAGAGGTGGCAGTTTTGGAAAAAGTACCGCACTCCTACCCCTTGCGATTTTGCACTGTTATCTGGCACTGATACTGTCACTCCCGCGAATGTGTTGCGGTGGAGTTGCGTGTCCAGTTTCACCGTGAAATCGGAATGTTTCTAATAAGTTCTATTGACACGTAACTTCCTACGTACGCATCGTAAGCGACTTTTGACTTCTGAGTTTCGTTTTGTCGCTGGCATTCGACGAACCCGAAGAAATCTCTTCCCTGTCTGAGCCCCTTCCAAGCCCAATTTCCCCTTCACAATGCATGACGTCACGAACTCCAAGCTTTTCACATATAATTTTTTAGGAGTGGTCGCTTCGTGAAGAAAACAGCTGCAGGGATCATTGCCAAGAAGCACAACGAAGGCGGCAGTCCACTTCAGGGGAAACGTGGACCTACCGTACGTCTCTAAAGAGCTAAAAAAATACCAAAAATTCCAGGGAACGGAGTCTCCGACAAATCTGCACAGATCGGGGAGTGGGTACGAAATGTAAGTTGGAATTGCAGAGGAGGAGAGAGAAGGAGAGAGAAAGAGAGCGAGAGTGAGAGAGAGCGTGAGAGAGATAAAGAAACAAAGACAAAAAGTGCGACCTCCACAAATTTTTACATCCAGGAGAAGCCTGCAAGCCTACGAAAACCTGAGACGCAGTATGGAAGATGAGCGGGAAAGGCAGGGAAGGGAGGAGATCACGAGACATAGGAGCCGCAGAGATAGACCCACAAAGAGAGGGGAGGAGAGGGAGAGCGAGAATCAGAACGTTCATTACCGGAAGAGATCTGAGGAGGTGAAGGTAAGCGTCTCATAGATATTGAGTCTGGTTTGGTTTAGCAATACGATACAACTCCTTCGGAGTCTCCGATGGAGCGGGAGGCTTACTTTACGTATGAGCATCGGAAGCAGAAGGTTAGCCAGAGAGTGAGATACAGAGAGAGAGAGAGCGAGAGAGAGGGAGAGTGAGAGAGTGGGCGAGAAAAAAAGCTCGTTTTTAGGACCAACAAAGAATGCCCCCTGACGGCTACCGTAGACGCGACAGCTCGGAGCAAAACGGACGCAGGGACCAGGTAAAAAAAATGTAAAATAAACGATAAACATAGTATTAACAAGTAGTATGTAGCGAACATAAATTTCCATATTTTACATGACAATTACGGTTCCCTTATCCAGCCCTATGGCCGCGAGCTGTGGATCCGCGACTCGCTGGGCCGCAAGCAGGCTAAGGTCGGTACCCACCAGGTCATTAGGTGATTTTTTGAGGTGTTTATGCAAGTAGTAGTTAGAACTAACACAAGTGGGAAATCGGGAAGTATGAGAGCCTTAAAAAACCTTTGCTTCAGCGCCTACCAGCCGGGCTCCCAGCGCGAATGGATAAGCCCGTACCGCGTCAAGCCAGGTGAGAGAGAGGGAGAGAGAGAGAGAACGAGTGAGAGGGAGAGGGAGCAGGAGCTTTAGCTAATTTCGCGACAAAACTCCATTTTCAGCCCGTGGCGCAGCCGGTCCCAATGCAAGTATGGGCCGATCGGTCTCTAGGAAATCTGTCCGCAAGAAGGAGTCCCTCCGAAGACGTGAGAGCCAGAAGAAGCGGAAGGCCCGCGGTGGTGTCGCATTTTCCCATATTTTCACCAGTATTTTTTGATTATAATTGTAAGCTTACCTAAACAATTGTTATTTATTACTTCTACCAACCCTCGAACCGTGGTACCCAGTGCAAAACACGCCTTTTCAATCGATAAATGGGTTTTTTTCAAGTTTATCTGGAATTATTTTTGCATTTTAATGGTTGATGGTAGAATCAAGGCAGCATGCAGCCTTGAACATCCCCTTAATCCTCCCAGTCCAAAAATCTCAAGCTCAAACATGACCTCCCCCGAACGAATTTTTCGACAATCGACACACCAGGTGTTCGTAGCCGCAATTCATTCGTCAGTTGACGGATTAGGAGTTGAACTGGAATTCAGAAGGGGAGGGGCTAAAGCCGCTTAGGCCGTCGGGTCACCCACACCGCCGTTTCGAATGACTGCAATCCGAGGTCTGAGGGAGGGAACGTCACACGGTTCCGGGTCTCTCTCTCTCTCTCTCTCTCTCTCTCTCTCCTCCGATCAAAGGCGCTTTTGAGAAGATCGTCGTCTTGGTGGGGTCGTAGGTGAACGAACTGGATTCGTGCCAGATTCTTCATTTCAACTACGGACAGTTCAGTACGGCTTGCAACTTCCGCGAAGTTTCTGAATCGTTATTATATTTCATTCCCCCTTACACTTTAGGCAGCCTTCGTAAAAATTAAGATCTTGGGATTCTGGCCTAAAATTGAGGTCGAAATTTACGTCTTCAGAATTTCCTGGAAGCGACAAATTTTAAGTAGCTGTCGGCATCGAGACCAAATTGTTAGCGGGGTCGATGCTGGTCGATCCTACACTTCCCGGCCCCTTTAATGCAACTTTAGGAAGAAAGAACTTCTGCCGCATTTATATTTTCGATATTTGCATAAACGTAAAAGATTCCAAGATTTAGAAAAAAATTGTCTTCGGTGGACCTCAAGGGCGGGACTAGGAACGCCTACAAAGATAAAATCGTGGGATTTTTATTTTAATTTCGACGTACTAAAGGCCCATACGTTAGCTCAAAAATCCCAGCTTCCCTTGCCCTTTACAGAGCCCTATCAGCGTCAAAATCGACCCCTTTAGTCGAGGAGCTCCAGGTAGGTACGTTTGGCACCCAACGACGGAGATTTAGGGGCTCTAAGGTTTACGTTAAGGACTCCTTTAGGGTTATATGGGTGTATGATGAGCTCGGTGGAGATTCACATTAGCTTTGGCATGCGAAATTTAATGTCGAGGTTAGATGTCGAGACCTAATAAAACTGCACACCAACGGACAGCTCGGGCGCTTGCCGATCCCTTTAATAGACCATGAAAGCCGCAGTGTCAATCCAAAATACACCAAATACAAACTCCCGGTCTCGATTCACAGCCCCAGGCTTGACGGGCCTTCCCTTTGCCCCTAATTATTTGTGCAGGCTCCCGCCCGGAGCCGTACTCGCCGTGGCCCGGCTCCGCCCCCACCCAGCCACCATCTCCACCAGCACGATGGACAGACGCACAAACAAACAGGCGGAGAGAGAAAGAGAGAGAGAACGAGAGAGAGAGAGAGAGAGACCAACAACACACCAATTCATGGTGAGGGAAGGCTGGCCTTCCGTCCTCCTCTTCATTCCCTCCTCCCGCCGCCTCCTGTCCACCATCCCAATACCCATTTTCACTTTCCCCGCCCCCCTATTCCCACACTTCTTTAGCATCCCCAAGCCACCTCCACTTATATTTTTGCGAGTCCTTAGCCTCTCGGTTGGCAACCAGTCGAGCGCAACGAGCCGGCACGGCTTTTGGCACCTTTAATATGCTACCTACTCGCTAGCTTTTTTAAGTTATTAATTTTTTCACTGGTTTCTTGTTTTCCAGGCGACCGTTTTTGAGAAGGCTTAGATATTGTTAAATTGAGATAAAGCAAGTTGCAACTTTTCTTTAAAATTCTGACATTTTTGGAAAGCCTTCTCACGAAAATCCCCGTAATTCATCTGATTTTGACACCAGAAAAATTATCGGCCGTTTTTATGGTTATCAAGATGGGACTTTTTAGCCCAACGAGTTTAAACACAAAACTTCCTAAATTCATAAAAATTAAACGTAAAAACGACAGAATTTAAATTAAAAATGGAGTATTTAACGTTTAACATTTTGTCTAACGCTTTCCATGAGTTTACCGTATTTTTCGACGTCTTAAAAAAGGCATTAACACATAAATGCACACTCTGCCGACTAGCTAATTAAAAGCGTGTCTTGTCAGACCATAATTGATCATTTTTATTGCCTTGCTTTCATCTCCTATTTTTGCTGCGTAATCACCAGGTTGTTTTAGCACGAGCGAACGACCCGTCTGACGGGCTCCTCCTCCTCCACGGCGTCGACGAGGAGGTGGTGGTGAAGCTTGGCTTCGACTTCTCGCGAAGCCGAGATGGCGCTTCACCTATTAATTTGGCTGTCGTCGAGCTGGCTTATTTTGGCGCTACTTCGGCAGGCTTTCGATCTGATTGGGCGATTATGGTTGCCGGTTGCCTTCAATTTGTTACAGGTTAGTTTTTATTGGTTTATTGGTTTCACATTCCCCTTAATTTATACCGTAATCCCTGGACCCTTTTTCCCATCCGGTTCCGGTTGGAAAACCGGATTTGCGCTTAATATGCGCCATGTCAAAAATGAGAAACGGGCCGAGTCGGTCTCCCTCTCTCGCTCTCTCTCTCTCTCTCTCTCGCTCTCCCTCTCTCTCGCCCTATCTATCGCTTTTCAAGATCTATGTCTTTTCTTTCCCCTTTCTTTGATGGCACCCTGATCCGTTCCACATTCCGCCCCTATCCTCCTTACGGATCTAGCGTGCAAGGTGCTGTGTGCGGAAAGTGACCCCCGTCTAATTGCAATTTCAAATAGCCAGCCCACTTAAGTGGACGCGCGCTTTTCAACAGGTTCAAAAGTGGTCTAAGGGGGCTAGTAAACTGACGGGTCGCCAAAATTATTTTTATGCGGTTTATAGAGCGATTTGTCGTTCAAAAATATCTGTAAAGGGGTTAGGAATCGACCCCCTTCTAGCCACTAGGTCTAGACAATTTGGCGTTGCATCAAAGCATAAGGTGTGAGCAGAAAGAAAACAATTTTTATGCGTAATTCGTACCTGTCAACACTCAGCCCAGGTGTGGCATTTTAAGTGAAGAATTTTTACCTTAAAATCGTTTAAAGTTGAAACAGATGAGACAGTTGTACCAGCTCTTTAAAGTTGTTCCATTGCGCCGATCTGCACCTGGACCTGCATACCAAAAGCGTCCAGCCGAGCGCCTAGCCGCAGTGGCTGTATTGGTTGCAGTGTTTGGCCCGTCGAGTACCCACCCACCACCCACCTCTAGCTAATCTCGAGGGCAAGCCGGGACCAATGCAAAGCGCACTAATCCCATTCCACTTCCCCCGGCCCCCACCCCAAAAAAGGTCAGGATCGTTAGCCGTATGCAAATAAACAGACCAAGCGTAGGCAGGGGTACTTCCGGACTGGCGGGCTTTAACAGGACCAGGAAGGCTGGGGAATCGACTCATGGAGTCAACTGGGTATCGACAGTTACGTTTTTCTATACAGTGCACTTAATTTTGACATTTTGATGACACAATATTAAAGTTTAAATACAAGATAAGAAGAGTTTTCTCCGTCTAAAATGTGGCGGTCTAGACCCAGTCGTGGCGATGTTCGATCCTGAGGCTTCCTGGACCCTTTAAATTTTTATGGTAGAATCGCTATTGATTAGTTTTCTCACGCTGACCTTTAAATTGCGTAATTGGTTACGATCCCTGCACAGTGGAAAATGTCACGTGCGTCACGTGTCGCGGGCTTGGAAAAGTCTATTGAAAATTTATGAGCATTTACAGGCCGTAATCGATTACGCAATTAATGGTCGCTAGCTCCATGTGAAGACCGAATCAGCGCAAATCAATAGACGTGCCTTGCCTGCCCCTTTAGCCGGTCAAAAAGAAATTCAAAAATCGAAAACCCCCACCAGATTCCGTTAGACTCCAAAATAGGCCGGCATTTTTATCTATAGCATGGTTGTCGAGGCCTAGTTTTCGGAGAGGGTCAAATCTGAAAGTTCCCAGCCCCTTTAAAAAATAACCTTACTGCTCCTCTCTTTGATCCCTCGGCTCTCCCATTACGGAACCCAACCCTTTACGTTACGGATTACAAGGTCAACCCCTCGTAAAACCCGGCCAGAGGATAGAGGGGATGCATAGGGTGAGTGTTTAAAGGGACTCTAAAGGCAAAGAGGGAGCCCTAGTGTGTCCTTGGTTGAGGTTACATCGCAGGGTATTGTCCGGCAGTGTGGCGCGTGGCGCGCACATTTCGCGCTCTAACCCCCGGGGGCTGTGTCCTACAGTCAAATTGCCCCTCTCAGCTGTCCCCCCATGATTTAGCCACATACGCCAGGCTCAAGAATTGGAGCGTAGGTCGGCACAAAATGTGCGTTTTATTTGGATACTTGGGGAAGAGTGAACAAAAAAAAGTGACCATGGCCTTGTTGTAGGTCGGGAAGAAATTCAAATGTAACTGAAATTAGAAGCGGATTTTCAAGAAACTGGGAAGTATCAAATTTTTCCTGTTTTGGTGTTTTGGTGTTTTCTATTGATCGATTCCCGAACTTCACTCTCCTTTAATGACCCATGAGTGCTTTTGTATCATTCCGAAATACGCCTAAAGACGAGCGCGCGTTCCTGGTAGTGTTGCGTAGTTGTCGAGACCTAGTGCGCCGCAGCGCCGATTTTTGGAGACAGAGAGAGCGATATAGAGAGCGCAAGAAATGAAACAGAGAGATCGAGAGCCAGAGATCGAGCCCGATCTCAAAAGAGATTCACTGCCTCATCTACCACAACTTGTTCCTCATCTTCCCTTAATTCCCCTCATATCCGCTTTCATCCCCGGTATCTGGCAACGTCAAATGCCCGGAAGTGCTGTGGCGACGTTCCTCAAACGCGAGTGGGTAATTGGAGACGCTGGAACACATTGTCGGGGCGGCATTCTGTGATGATGTTGTCTTCGTTTCTTTGTCCTCTCCACTCTTCCGACCTCTCTTTCCCTTCTTCCGGTCAATTGATCGATGTCCTGCCCACCGTCTTCAGGGTCCTCACCGTGGTGTTTGTCCTCGATTGGGTCTCTGGGCCCCGTCCATCCATCCAAGATTCCCGCTTTGGGGCGCCCGCACTTTCCGCCTTGGCCTTTGCTTCGGGACCTGTCCAAATTGGCCCGTGGGGTATCACGACCTATCAAAGGGGAATGAATGTATGAAGTGTGCTGTAGAGTACGAGTTTAGGAGAGAAAGCTAGAGAGAGAGAGAGACAGAGCGCGAGTGAGAGAGTCAGAGAGCCAGTGAGAGCTTGGGAGCAAGATAGAGAGAGAAAGATCGAGCGAGAAAAATAAAGGAAAGACAGAGACAGCGAGAGAGAGAGAGAGAGAGAGAGCGATGCAGATAGGGAAAGTGTATTGGCATTAGATTGCAGCAGTTCAACACCAGCTAGCAGTCCAGTGTTGGTCTGCATACCTCTTTCCCTCTATGCAGATCTTTAACCCTCTTTCTCTCTCACTATCCCTCTCGCTCTTTTTCGCTCTCTCTCTCTCTCTCTCTCTCTCTCTCTCTTTCTCCATAGTTCGTTTTCCGAACCCAAAATTTTCCACCCTAGCTTTTGTCTTGTTCGAGCCGTTCGGGGCAGCTGGGTGCCTGCACCATTGGTGTGTTTGTGTGTGTGTGCCTCTGTCCCTCTCTCTGTGAGTGGGACATCGGTATGTAAATATTTGTGCCTCCGGGCCATACGGGAAAGCAGGAGGGGTGGCCCTAGGCTGGCGGCTTCTGACCACCACCCAAGCGAGAATTGGTGGATTGAGAGGGAAACATAGCTCAAAGTTGTTAAATAATAGAACGAGAGAAAGCGATAGGGCAAGAGAGAAATCAACATTTTTCTAAATTTCAGATCCTCTGCTGCATCATCGGTGTTTTCGCAGCCTGCCAGCATCGACGATCACTACTTGCAGTCTTTGCCACCACAAATTTCATATCTTTCATCTACAATCTGCTCCTTCTTTTCTGGTAAGTTTTGTCGAGGCCTAGCGATGACAGGGGTCGGTTTTCGGGACTTACTAGGCTGTTTAAGGCTAATTTCTCCTTTTCAGGTACGAAGGAGTGTTCCCAACGACCAGCCACTACGCGTTGCTCCTCTCGTTTGGGTTGCCGTTCTCATTTTCATTTTTCTTAAAGTACACGCCGGGATGTTCATCACATTTCGATTTGAAGAACTCGTACTGGGTCCAAGGTAAGCAGATTTTGAGGTGTTACCGTAGATGCCGTAGCTTCTGAACGTATTTCATAAATTTTTACATTTTCTAGACGACTGCCTGATCCCGTTCGTCCATCTCGAAGCGGCGCAGTCCGTAATTCACGGCGTGCTGGCTCTTACCTGCCTAATTACGACTACGGTGGTCCTATGTACCCCGAAGAAGCGGAAGCGGAAGAGCAAATCGGTAAGTTCAGGAGTATTAGATAACATGACAGCGTAGAGTCGCTTATTACAAAGTAACAAGGCAATGTATCGATATTCCAGGCCTCACTTCCAACCGTTAGCGCGGAAAGTGTCGTATCTGGAGATATCGAAAAAAGACCTCGATCTCGTGCTCCAACTCGATCACTGCCAGATTCGGGGTAAGAACAGTTTTTGAGATATCAGATTAACACATTCCGTTGAGCTCCTCCGTACGTTCCGGATACGTCAATTCATCCTATGATTCTCGTGAAGATGTGTCGGCTGTGAGAAGTGCTCCGAATTATCGGATGCCACCTCTGAATAACCAGCCTATTCAAGCGTTTCCTAACGAGAACTATGAAGATGTTGATCCGGTATTTATAGAAGTGGCTGTATAATATCGTTAATTTGTCTTTTAGGAGCCAGCCCAACGTCAGCCTGCCGCTTCGCAACTACAGTACTCCAAGCGGAAATCAAGGGGACAATCGAGGGTGGTGCAGGAGGAGAGAGATGAGGTTAGGCTTTTTGAATTTGGGGCTATAGAGAACGGGAGATCCAAGAGAGAGAGAGAGAGAGAGACGGAGAGAGAGAGAGAGAGAGAGAGAGAGAGAGAGAGAGAAAGAAAAAGAGTGAGACAGAGAACTTTTCCGATTTTCAGCCACCAATGGCGCGAGCCCCGCCAAACCCGGATGCAAATCGTGCCAGCGGAATCTTCCGGAAACGCGACTCTCGTGGCAATCGGCACAGCAGGATTGTAGGTTTTTATACGAATGGATTTCGGGTTTTGCATGCACCCAGTATTACTGTAATTCGTAAGGTCAGAGTCGATCGATTAAAAGCTTTTTTATGAAAATTTAATTTTAATGACCCGAAAAATCAGGAATCTAGCAATTAGCCAAATTTCCAAAGGTATTCCACCTCGCTTTGCGTTTTTCTAGCAAAAACTCACAATTTTTTGAGAAATACTTGAGAAAAATTACCTTATGGAAATTCGTGAAAGTCTATATCCAGAAACCAACGGAATCGCTCGTCAACAGTAGCGTCGCGTAGCCACGGTCTAGACAACGCTAAGCTCCTCTTGACACCCGAATTTCTTCTTAATCGATCCGCCCTGACCTCAATTTCGGGTACAATTTTCGGAATTTCGGAATTTCGGACCCCAAGTACGGTGTCACTTTCCAGTCGTTCTGCTCCTCCTCCACCACGGGCACGATCCCCTCCCTGCACTCGCTCGTGTCCTTTGACCCCAAAAGCACCAACTATCTCACGGTTCGTCGCTTTCCCATCCCGATCCATTTGATACCACCACCGGCTGGCGCCTGGAATACGTTGGGTGCTGCAGGTGCAAGAGAGGATACCCACCGACGATAGCGAGACGGAGGGCCCGTCGACGTCTTCGGGATCACAGCAGAGTGACGATTATGAGGTGGAGGAGGTGAAGGTTGAGGCTCCGCCACCACCTGATGCTCAATATTCCAAGGTGAAGAAGAGGCCGAAGAAGGTTGTCCAGCGAGAGGTGTGTTTTCAAGGGATCATTTGCGCTTCGCTCTATCGCTGTGTTGCGTGTTGCGTTGCGGAAGGGTTTCTTTTCTTGCTTCTGGGTTAGCTGTGTCTCCAGATGCTAGCTTATTAGGATCTTACACATTATCGGGGGGCTGGGGTGACAAACACGATTTTAACTAGAAAAACTAGCCAAAAACTGTGAAAAATTTGAAAGTTTGGCCAAAAACGGTCATTTGATCAAAAAAATCGATACTTTTATATTTTTTTAATAAAAATTGGCAAACTTAAATTTCAGGAACCTCCAGAAGCGTCATTTGAAGCTCCCCGTAGTGCTCGGGATGAGAGCCCCGTCAAGCCCCGGGAGACCAGGGACCGAGACTACGATCAGGAGCACGAGGATCCGGCCTACGAGCGGATATCGGCCTATCGACGTCTTGGCCAGGCAGCAGCCGAACGTGCTCGCGACCACCGGCAAGCGGTAGGTGGCTTAGGGAGAAAAATAGGACAGCCATCAAGCCATGGGGTCAAAATACCTTATTCAAACCGGCGAAACACACTCATAAATAGCAGCTGAAATCACGAGAAAATTCGAATATAGGGTGGGTGCGGTTTTAAAGTTGGTGCCGTGTCGGGGGTATCGTCGCGTAGTCGTTGGAGCTACAGCGTGCTGGCCCAGAACCAGAGCAGAAAGCCGGCAAACACGACGACCACGGCCAGCGCGAAGAGGATGCCCACCAGGGCCAGCAGGGCAAGGAGTTCGTAGTCTGAAAATACGATTTTTCTCACAAAATTGCGGTTTTAAAGGTATTTTCTACCTGTCAAGCCCCTTTAAAAATTAGGTCCAGATTTCTGGCTTATTGAATCGATTACTCCATCAAATTCGCGCTTACCGGGCCCTTCGTCCGGCGCGTCCAGCTCGTACTGCTTGTTGGCGAGCCGCGAGTTGGATTTGTACTAAAAATTTGAGATTTAATTTGCCGTAATTTTTTTTCTTACCCTCAGCTTGATGCGCTTCACCTCGGTCGGCTTGCTAAATGGCAGAGAAAATTGCGGAAATCTGGGTTTTTGACTGACCACTCGAATCCGACCCAGGCGGGTGGGACGACGTGCCGGATCACGGGCCACGGGTTCGAGCCGGGCTAAAATAGGGTGTTTTTTAGCGTTATTTCAGTGTTCTGTATAATTCTAAGATGCACTAATATACCAACGTCAAAATATCCAATCTTTATTTAATTCTTTGTTATTTGTAAAGTTTTACAAGTCGGAAATGAGCCCAAAAACCGACCTGATCATAGTAGATGGTCACGCACTCGGCGCCCCAGCAGCAGATGCGATCCTCAAAATTTCAAAATGTCGAAAAAAGGCAAAATACCTGAATTACAAGTTGTTCCTTGTACTGGAACGAGTAGAGGGCGCATTGCATCTCGCCATCTTTTTTGGGGGTGATCGGGTTGACGGGGAGGGAACCCACTGGAATTACATTAGTTTGAAGTTCACTAGTTAGCTCTTCCAGCGTTGCTTTTTAAGCGCGTCAAGGTCGCGTCGCGTAGTCGTTTTAAAACGTTTTTACTATTCCTAAACGTAAAAACCTTAGAAATGTTGGTCCAAAACACCCAAAAACATCGATTTTTGACGAAAAGGGCCCTTTTCGAAAAATGCGAAAAACTGGGCTAATGGTTCACAGGTCCGGTAAGCCTTTAATTTTTTGACTCCGGACCCTATGGCAAAGTTTGCGAATCTGCTGTTCTATTTTTCTGTCAAAAATTCGGTTTAACCGACATAACAAGTCGATGAGCGAGTCCTTGTCCGAGTTGGGCAGTAGATGGAAGGGGGCTCGGTCGTCTGAAGTCTAAACGGAACGTTTTTAGAAAATTTTTCCCTTTCAAATACCCCAAATGCGCATCCCATGAACAGATGCTTTTCGTGGGTTTGCAGCGCCAGGCAGGACTTTGACTCGAGGTCTGCCCATTTCTGAAAACGGCGCCAAGGGGTGACGATAAGGATATTCCGTACCTCAACTTTTTCGCCTTCCGTATCTGCCAGGCCGAGTGGGGAATGGATGCCCTTGTGGGAGCAGAGGTGACTCTAAAATTGGCATACTTTTGCGCATCAACGTGAAATTTATACTTTTCCATCGGTGATCAGCTCCAGGGCGGCTTCAATGGTTGGGTAGAGCTGGAAACATCTTTCGCTCCGCTTCTCTCCGTTTCTCTCTGTTTCTCGCTCTCTCTCTCTCGCTCTCTCTCTCTCGCTCTCTCTCTTCCTCTCTCTCTCGCCTCTCTCTGTCTCCTCACCCCTGTCGTCTTATTCCGATATTCAACAATCAGGATATGGTACAAGGGGCAGAGTAGGCTCTTCACGAAGATAGGCGCCAACCGATCCCGGCAAAACGTTGCCCAGAAAGCTTCCTAAAAATGGAAATCCATAGAGTCTCTTGTATTTCTGGTTCCTTTAAAACCAAACAACCACCAAAAACCACCTCAGCATCCAGCGTTGCCCCACTCATTTGGGTCTGATAACGCGCCGGGTCGAGCACATTCTGGTGGACGGTCTCCTAAAGCCAAAATTTACATAAATGCATAGACTACACACTGTGCCAAATGACGCCTGAAAAATGCGCAGTGTTGCTGGCGAAACGGACCGGTAGAGGAGATTCTAAAGCAGAAAGGAGAATGTACAAAGTTCGAGTTAAAATCACCGCAAAAATTGCGAACAGCAAAAATGCACACCCCCGCATCACGGGGAGCCAGTGACAACTTTAAAAAAATATCTGAAAGCCTGCCAGTTAGAATTCAAATTCTTTATGTAAATTCATGCAAATTTCAGGACCCAAAAAGCCCTCCGGCGGACTATTCCCCGGCCGATGCGTCGTCGACGGATTCTGGCATCCACTCACAGCACCGTATCCCGACGGAATGGACTGTGGACCGCGTGGATGAGGAGTTGCAGCCTACAACAGGACATGTGGGTTTTAAAGGGTTAGAGACAGTGCGGCGACTTAGCAGAGATTTGGGCGGGACGACCGGAGACTTTATCCGCGCTTAACAATGAAGCTATCAGAGATCTCTTTTCTAACCATTATATTTTTGGGCTTCTGTAATTTTATCTAGACCAGCACAGAGACCGTATTGGAATTTTACTACCGTAATCCAAATCCTGATTTAGTACCGCAAATCCTGGCGCGCCAGCCGCACGGCCTTCGAGCAGGGCCCGCCAGCCGCGACGCGTGGTCTACGACGCGTCAACCCGGCTCAAATAATGCCGGACGCCCCGGAGCCGCCCGTAGCCTACGGGGAGCTACGAAGGAATTCACAACCGAGCAGTGCACTCGCGGAAGTTATCCGGCAATCAATAAGGTAAGGGATTTCAAGGGTTTCGTTCGAATGCGTAGCGGCTGAGTCACGTCCTGTTCCTAGTCAGGGCAACTCATCTAGCATTCGTTAAGCCTAAGCACCCGGAAAGCTTTAGAGGTCTTACATACAATTACAAAGACGACGGAATACAGATTACAATATCTGCTCTTTTAGAAAATCCTCTCTGATGAGCCTGGATGACTCAAATTCCTCAGCTTCGTTGAATGGAGCCTCATCCTCGATGGCTTCCGTTTCCGGGATCAGTGACGGCAGGAAAAGCCGATTTCAGGTAGACATTGCTCCAAAAGAAATTTTAATTTCTTCAGATTGAACGCCGCAACGATTCGGCCATCGGCCACTATCACTCTGCAGTCGAGATGCGGCTGGTGGCTCCGAAAAATGAGCCGAGCCCGCAGCCGGGCATTGGGCCGAGACAGGTGAATTTAAGTTTGGATTAAACTGGCGTAATTGATTCATAGAAAACTGCACCTAACGTTTTAAAAGATTTAAAGTTTCTTTTTCATGATTCATGAAAAATGAGATTTCAGCCGTCCGTGCATCGTCTCAGCCAAGTTCCGGGCTTGACAACAGCGCTCGGACTCTCAAATCTTCGACGGAGTGAGCCGCCACAGACAAAACAAGGTAAGCTTGAAGTTAAGCCTCTTTCTCTCTGTCTCTCTCTCTCTATCGCACTCTTTCTCTCTCTCTCTCTCTCTCTCTCTCTCTCTCTCTAGCTACCTTACCTACCCATACTACCTTTTTTGGATTTTACCGTACCTAATATTGTACTTCAGATTACGGTATCTCCCTGGCCCGCGAACCGGCGTCTCCTGGAATTCGACTGCGCCAAGAACCTAACACTCTGCAGCGCGGTGCCCGAATCATGTCGGACGAGAGTCTGCTCGTCTGAACGCTTTGATTTTGATGCTTTTTTCCACCAATACGGGTCCCGCCATCAGCTCCAGGTCGCTATCCACCGATTGCTCGTATTTGAACGAATTTTTATCTGGCGTTTTTGTGTGCAATAAATTATTGAAAAAAACGGAAAAGACATGCGAAGAACCGATCCCTTCCAAACGACACCCATCAGACTACTAAATTTTCCAATTTTGGTGAGCTACTCGAAAAATCAGTAAAATTCCGGAGAAAAGAATTCCGTGATTTTATTAGCATGCCATTTATGCCAACTTTCCGCCAGAACTCATTCAAAGTTCTGCCCAGGTTTTGTGTGAGCATGACGACAGCTGCAAGCTTATAGCTAGAGGGATGGGGGGTTGGCTGTAAAACATGTTGGCACGAGCCCACGACCACCCAGTGAAATATGTCACCAACCACGTATCGCTCTTGTTTATTCCCTGTTTTTGCTAAGACTGGGATTTGATACCGTATGGGGTAGCAGATCGGAATTTTTTTGATTTCTTGAGTGTGAGCTGAACGAAACCAGCGGGATCCGGACAGACCATGCAAAAGAGCAGAAACGAACAGCAATATTTTCCCTTCATTGGTTACTAGATTTTTCAATTCTGATTAAACGCCTTTCTCCAAGTTTCCGCTCTATTTTACATCTTGTTTTCCGCCCCGATAACCCTATAAGGAGCGTGTCGGCTGGGTAATCTATTCCCCACCCTCAACCCGTCACACCTTTTGACAATGGGTTGAATTGGGCGGTTGAGGCATTGCTTGAGGGGGAAAAGTTACCGTTTTTTGTCTCTTTCTCTCTTTCCTCTCACTATCTCTCTCACTTCTTATTTTTCGCTTTCTAACACTCACCTAGGGGCAGAATTTGTGCACCGGCGCGCGCGCGTAGAAAGGCATTCCATCGCGAGATGCGGTGCGCCGCTTTTTGATTGAGCACCCGGGGCAATGCGACTGACACCTTGGCACCGGGGGATTGCAACCACATCGCGACCACAGAATGCTGGGGGAGTGTATTGTTTTGCAGGGAAACTACTCTTTCTCTCTCTCTCTCTCTCTCTTTCTTTCGCTCTCTCGCTTTCTCTATGGCTCTCTCTCGCTCTCTTGTTCTATTTCTTTCTAGCTTTCTTTTTATCTTTCGGTTTTTGCCGTGTGTTTTACCTTAATCGAGAAAAATCTAGCCTATTTCTATGGCTTGCCTTGCGTATTGTAAGGCATTCCGATTCACACCTTTTGACACGTCCAAGTCGCTTTAAAATTTATCGATCCACGCAAGATCCAAATCCACCCGTTCCTCCCCTTCCCAGCCCCTTTAAACCCCCCACCCCGATCATCTACCTGTGTCTGATCGTGAGCATCGGTGGCTCTGGACCGTAAATATCGAGGGCAAATCTCGAATTTACGAGCTGTGTGCAGCGTACGGCTGATTGGGAGAGGGGGGTTGAACCGGATTGTTGCGCCCCGTGGTCAGGCTCACAAAACCCCGCGGCGTCGATTCGGTGATATGGGGGTTGGCTGGAAAGAGAAGGAGTGGAAGAAGAAGAAGCGGAAAAAGAGGGATGTGGGGTAGAAGAAGCGACACTGGCAACTTGCCCCTGCATTCCGATACATTCCTCAGGACAGTCTGCAGCGAAGGGGTCTTTTCCAACGTGGTTTTTAGATTCTATTTCTTGAAAGGTATCTCGTTTGTTTTTGGGATCGCGTCGCCAGGACGTGGGCTTAGGCATAGGCTTCGGCTCAAGCTTGTGCTCAGGCTTGGTTGAAGCTTAGATTTAGGCTTGGGCTTGGGCCTCGTCTTTGGCTTAGGCTCCGGCTTCGGCTTAGGCTTAGGCTTAGCTTACCAGGCTTGTTAGGATTTGCTTGAAATTCGCAACAGCCCTTCCACACCCAAAAAGTTGACTCAAACCCGGGTCCTTTGTCCGTTGACTTGTCTGTCTGTCTGTTCGTCTCCCTGTCCATCCACCCGCCAGGAGGGTCTCCGTCCCGATTTACGATGAGCATTTAGAGCTCTGTCTGTCTGTCTGTGTGTGTATGTCGGTCTGTCCGCCTGCTGGGATCTGGGCGGGGAGGAGGAGGAGGTACACTTCAAGGTCAACAGCGACACCTCGGCTTGGCTCCAATTTCCGGCCGGCTTAAGATATCACCTTTTATCGGGTCGATCGTTTTTATGGTCGTTGTTCAGAAAAAAAGGAAATAAGTCTAAGCCTAAACCTAAGCCTTTGCCCTTCTCCTTCCTCTCGATTTCCTTGGCCCGGCCGTTCCCAGCAGCAAGCGAACGTTTCGAGTTTTCAAATCGCCCGCCTCCCGCGACTTTTTGCAGCTTCTCCGGCAACGGAAAGCGGCTTTTCCCGGGGCACCATCCGCTCACACGGTCCACCGCCTCCTTTTTCGCTTCTCGAATCGCGCGCGCTGCAAAATGGCGCCGGTGACACCTTTTCCGGGCTCGTAATTACGTATCAAATTTCGGTTCTAATTTCAGGAATTACCTAAACTTCAGTTTATTTTGTTCTTTTTCTTCTTAACCCCCCTATTTTTGTCTGAAAATTTCTGCAGCATCGCGACGAGTTCCGGCCCTGATCCCGACTGCCAAAATCTGGACCGCGAAAATGATTGATAAGATTGATAACGCCGAGTGCTAGAATCCCGACAGGTCAAAATGCCGGAAGCCAAAATACCGACATCGGAATTTTGGCCTTCATGATTTCGGCTCTCGGGATGGCCCGGGTGGATTATCGTTGTTGGGATTATGGCTGTCGGAACTTTGCCGTTTCGGCATTTTGGCTGTCGGGATTTTTAATGTCTGGTTATGGCTGTCGGTATTTTTGCCTATCGGGTTCTTCGCCGATCGGGATTCTAGCCGTCGGGATTTTGGCCTGTCGGGTGTTCTTGCCCATCAGCACCCTAAAAACGTTTATTTTTTCGCTTCTTACATGCCTCCCAATCCAATCAAATCCATTTGTTCCGCTCGCCTCATAAAGTGTATGCAACGGGTTGTAATCATAAAAGGTTCCGTAGCTGGGCGATGCCCGCCAAGGCCATCGGTTATCATAATCTTCCATCCACCCATTTCTCCAGACCCCCCCAAGACCACCCAGTTCCGTTATGATCCAATTTGCTGCTGCCCCTTCTCGGAAATTCCCATTCCTGGGGATTGGCTCGAGGGCTCTGATTGATTTTGATACATTTCGGCTGCTTAGAATTCTGTTTTAAATTACGCATTAATGATTGGATATTGAACTTTTCATTAATGCGTTTTATTGCTGAAATTTAACGCTTAAATTAAGGCTTGAGCCTTAAAAGAACTTCAAACTCTAAAACGCTAAGTCTGAAAACTGCTTCACTCTTTCTTGTTCGCTATCCCTCTCCTGCTTCCTCTCGTACCCTCTCTCCCTCTCTCACTCTCTCTCTCTCTCTCTCTCTCTCTCTTACTTTCTCGCTCTCTCGCTCTCTCTCTCTCTCCTTCTCTCTCGCTCTCGCCGTTCCCTCCTATACATGGCATTCAGGCAAAGGTGAGACACCAGCCCCAACTTGTATTTTGGAGCTCTTTGTATTTGTCGCTACCCAGCCGATCCCAGGGGTTGATTTTTACACTTACTCGCCCCTTTAAAGGTCATGCTCAAACCGGGGTGGACGCACTTTCAGGGTATTGAAACCGAGCCACACCCATGGTTTAGCGGGCAGAACCCCCGATGGCATTTCCACTCGTCCCCGCCCCGGTTGGTTCCCCCTTCCTTCCTTCCTTTCCGTTTTGTGAGTCAAGCAGGTGGCGATGGCCCGTCGGGGCGTTCCGTTCCATTCCTTTGCACATCCTCCTCTCGCTGCCCTAACTATAGCCCTATGACTATCGGGTAATTGAGCCGTTGAAGGGGTTTGGGCCTATTTTAATGTGGGTTTTGGAAGTTTTGGGACTTTTCACTGGTTTTATGAGCTTTGGAAAAGCTTGAAAGCTTGCTGCTTTCTTGCCTGGGTCTGGCCGTAACCCGATGAATATTTTTATTAATTTTCCGGGTTAAGGGGCTTGCAGCTGGTTTTTCTGTTTAACTATTTATTAATTTCTTTAGGACTTTTTGAACTTGAGTGCCGCTTGAAACTTCCAAAAAAATTTTTGAGCTTGTGAAGCTTGTCCTATGTTTGGCTTACGCGTGACTAAGGCTCGGCGTAGGTTCAGCTTAAGCCAAACTTAGGCTTGGCTAAGGCTCGGCGTTGGCTTGGAGTAGACTTGGCTCAGGCTTGGCTACAGCTTGGCTTAGCCTTGGCTTTGGCTGAAGCCTTGAATGCTTTTCACTTTTTCCCAAACATTTTCTTAATCCGGGGGCCCCTTCCTTCAAGTATTTATGTTTCTTTCTTCCTAACAATATTTCCCAATCCAAAATCACCGGAGAGCATAATTAGCGGAGAGCTTCTCCCTCCCCCATTCCTATCTATTCTTCATTGTTTTCCTCAGCCTTTCCCCCACCTTTTAATACCCTTTTAATGGCCTCTCCAATCATAAAAAGCATCTTTCAACATCTAAATGCTTCTCGAGGATACTTCGAGGATCCTCGAATTCTTTCGCCGTTCCCCCCCCCTGGGGGGTGGGACAATTGGAAACATGTGCCAAGTGGCTAATGCATTTGGACCCTAGCACTATCTATTATTTTGGAACTCGATTCTTGTCGAAACCAGACTTTTCAAATCTTGAAATCGAATAAAACAAGAAATTAAAGAAATGCTTAGAAAATTACGAAGAAAATTACAATTTTTACAGTAATCCAGCAAAATCGCGTCCTTTAAATTAGCTTTAAAGCGTTTTAGACACATTTTAAAGCCTGTGGAGTGTGCATTGGTTTTGACGGTCTCGAGTAGAGAAACCGAACAAACGCATCGAGACACAGACACCAAAAACGGAGAGCCGATGGCCGATTTGTGAATCGACGCGAGAGTTTGGGCAACGTGATTCACCTCCCGGGATAGCGCCGGCCCTATTCTCGGGAACATCTTTTCACTTTTTTTGGTGGCTTCCGACTATTCTAAGGGGGTGTTGAAGCGTGTTTTCGACTGGCGCTTGGCCGCTACAAGGTTATTATCGGCGAGCGCGAATTAATGAATTTCCCCCAGGAGCACGACTTTCCAGCCAAAAAAGTCGATTTTTAAAGAGCTTCGATCAAATCGGGGTTAGCGGGCGGAGCCTCATGTTTCGGAGGTTAGGGAATTTGACGCTTTTTGCTGCATCAGAGAATCTCGCTCTTTTTTCAAACCCAAAAACCCTTTTTTTAAAGAATCTCTTTTTAGCTAAAGAGATTCTAAGCTGTGCCTCAATGCACTTCTTAGAAAATTCTAGAAATCAGAAAGTTCCGTCGCTTGTTTTTTTTCAATCGGGCAAATAGCAGCAACAAGTGATAAGAAGCCGAGGCTCAGAAAAGAAAAAAACAAGCTGAAAATTTTCAGGCATGGAAACAAATCAGGTTTTTATATTTAGTTTAAATCATCCAAAAAAAACGTTTTTAAGCTGCTGTTACAAAAATTCTAATTAATTTTTAGGCGCTTTTGTTCAAATTTTGAATTTGTATGTTTTATAAAATCAGGACTATCTTTTTAGACAATTTTTCGACCGATCGAAAAATACAGTAAATTCCCAGTCGATTTTTTAATGCCTGACTTACATTTTTTGCAGTTTTTAAGTTTCCTATAATTCCTCAAATTCTCTCTGCCTGCTTTCCACCGGCTGATTGATGTGATCTGTGTATTGAAAGATGTGCGGTGGTGGTTAGTGCACGGGGGAATATCGACATGACTCTTGGCAGGGGACCCCAGGCCTGGACGGCCGGGCCGGCCCGGGCCGGCCCGAAAACCGAATAACTCGGCACGCATTTCCTCAATTGTGAATTTTTTTTCATGATTATACGCGACGGGCCCGTCGGCTTATCTCCTAGAAAAATTAAGGCTGCAGACCATTCCCACGCAGAGTTATTTCAGTTTCGGGCCGACCCGAGCCGGGCCGGCCCGGCCCGGCCCGATTCGGCCCGGTTTGGGTCAATTCGGGCCTAGTTATTCCATTTTCGGGCCGGCCCGGGCCGGCCCGGCCGTCCAGGCCTGGGGACCCCTCGCAGCGTTGATAGCATGCAGCAATACATCGTAATGTGGCCACGGAACGGCCCTCCCTTGGCAGAGAGGAGTGTCGCGTACACTTTAAGACCATACACACACGCGGCGAATCATCATCATCATCACCTACACGTAGTATTTGAGCGGAATATGCTAATTTTGTGGCAAAACTTTAGCATCACAAAAAAAAAAACGCTTTTTTATAGAAACGCTAAGATTTTTTGAAAGCGATTTGCTTTGTCAAACTTTTCGATTTGCTCTAATAATTTCCAAAAAAATTAGTTGCCGTTTACTTCGTATTACCTAACTAAATTTTTTTTAAATGACCAAAATCTAAAAAATCGCTTCTTAAACCCATTTTCAAAGCGGCTTTTATTTTTGCTATAATTTTTTGGATATTACGTCATTTTGGGCTGCAATTCAGATACATAATAGTTTAGTTGAACGGAGTGCATTTTCAAATATCGAAAATAGCAGAAATACCGAAAACTAGCTTCAACCGCGTTTTTTGAAAGGTTGTTCTTCATTATGCTAAAACTTTTTTATGGCATTGCGTTGAACCGCAACAAAACTTTATTTTTAGCATATGTATTGTTAGCAAATTGTTTTGAGGCTTTGTCGTAAAAAACTTCGAAAATATCGACATTTTAGGAAATTTATAATGAAGAAACGAATATTTTGCCCCAGATGTCATTTTATCTACACTTTTCAACCTTGATCCCCGACAATTCAGGGGCCCATTTCGGCACACTTCCGTCGGGGGGTCGTTCCAAGCGGTCCGCCCCGCCTCTAAACGGCTTCAGCCCTCCGCCCCGCAAACAGCTGGAATAGTTTGCCCTCGGGCTACGCCGGTGCGTGCGGCCGTTCCGCACCACCTTGCAGACGTCTTTCTGGCCCGACCAGGCTTTTCCCTTTTCTGAAGGCTCGAAGCGGGCGGAAAGTTTGGACTGGCGGGAGGGAGGGGAGGGCCCCCCACTGATAAGCCCTTCTTTGCCCGCACCCACTTCGGCCCTCCCCCCTTCCGATCGCCTTTTCCTTCCTTTGTTTGGTGAGTGTTCTCCCTCTTTGCTCTCCTATTTTATGATACCTTAACCAGCCCGTTGATCATTAACGTTGCGTCAGCGGTTCCTGTTTGAGTCGGGACGCCTGGAATTTTGGTGTGGTATTTAAAGAGACATGAAAGTCAATGACACTTGATTTGAACAAAAAAGCGTTCGAAAGAGTGTCTGTAATTTAAGAGGACCTTAGGTATCGCTACTTTTTGGCTCATTTCCATTGGCTTTGCTTCGATCCCGATTTCTCTCGCTCTCTCTCTTCGCTGACTCCCTCATTCCACCGCCATTCTTCTTTATTGCTCGTTCTCTCTCTCTATCTCTCTCTCTCTCTCTCTCTCTCTCTCTCTCTCTCTCTCTCTCTCTTTCTCTCTCTCTGCCTCTCTCGCTGTCACTCTCTCTCTCACTATCCTCTCATTCTCTGTTAACCACTCCTTCTCTTTATCATGCTCATTTTTCCATTCTTTCTCTCTCTCTCTCTCTCTCTCTCTCTCTCTCTCTTTCTCTCTCTCACTCTCTATATCTCTCGCTGTCTAATACGTCTTCTCTCGCTCGTGTTTTTCTTAAAAGTTATAAGTTTTTTATTTCTTTGTTCTTCCAGGGGTAAGCAGTAGCGTTTTTGGAGATGGCATTGCCGGGGCCGGCCCTGCAGCCGAGCGGTTCATCAACAACAACAACCGGTCGGGGCCAGGAGGGGCGACGCTGTACCTGTTGCCCCTATGGCTACCATATCGACCTGGATTTCGTGTCGTTCGCGGAGGATGTGGTGGGTTGAGACGAGAGAGAGAAAGAGAGAGAGAGCGAGAGAGAGAGAGAGAGAGAGCGAGAGAGAGGGAGGGAGAGAAGAGCGGGAGAGAGAGCGAGAGAAAGTGAGAGCGCCAGAGCGATGATCCTGTGAGCAAGAAATATTTTCAGATCCGTGGCACCAGCCGAGGAGCTCGAGCCAAAACCCCGACGCTATCCTCCAAATCCAAGCTCATGGAAACACCTAGAAATCTTGTATCGCCGTTGGACAGTCTATTCAGGTAAATGCACCGAAAATTTCGCCCCTGATGACCTTGATAGTGTGATGGGAGGGCATTTCAAGTCTCAATTAATTATGCCCCCTACCGGCGGCCCTGCACTGTCAGCAAGCAGGGCAGTGGATTTCAAGGTCAAATTCCTTGGATTTCCCCGCGCACGAATTTTGAAGCGGGAAAAACACGCCCAGGGCGATCAGTGAAATTGCTGATCAGCGGGGGTTTTGGGGGATACTTGAGAAAAAGACAAACTAAAAACCTTAAGCCAAAATTCATATTGTGAAAAACGCTTGCCTAAGGTTTTACAAATATTTTGTTTTTGGGGAAAGCGCCGCAAAAAGCGTTTTCGAGGTTTAAAAATTTGTTAAAAAAAAAGTCCAAGGGAACTCTTAATTTCAGTGACTCCCTCGAAAATATGATGTCCGACTTTGAGGAGGTGCTGGACAAAAAGGAGCGGTTCGATGAGCGGGACGCATTTTTTGAGGGCGGATATCAGTCGGACTACACCGGATATCACTCGAGACCAAGTAAGACAGGTTGCTTGGGCTTAAGCTTTGATTTTGGCTTAGGCTTAGGCTGCGGATTACTAGACTAATTATTTGTCGAAGTTATTTGCCATCAGGAACTGACATCATAGCGTTACGGGGTTTAAGGGGCGAGAAAAGGTAGTCGCTTGGCTTCTCTCTCTCTTTCTCTCTCTCTCTCTCTCTCTCTCTCTCTCGGGTTTGTGCCCGGTCAGCTGTGACATTCGCGCCCATCTCCCGAACGTTCGCGCCGCAGGTAAACAACAATTGGCTCTTACCGGGGGCGCGCCGGCCAATAAACCCCTAAATTTGCATTCTTTGGGGAGTTCAGTTAAAGGTACACTAAAATCTCGCTTAAAAAGTAGTTCGTGGTCGGGAATTTGGTCCCTTTGTCGTTAGATGGACCGACCCTTCATATCCCCTCTCCGCCTCCCCTCCCTTGTCTCTCCCATGGCCTATTGGTCTATGGCGCTTGCCCCAGGCGAGTGGTCCGGGTTCGGTTTTGCTCCGCGGCGAGCGCCTACCGTAACCCTGTTTGCTATCCCGCGGACGGTTACCGGCCGGTAACCAAACCAACGAGACGTTAGTGTACCTTTAAGAATATAAAAAAGAGAGCGTGCAAGAGCGAGAGAGAGATAAAGGGCGAGAAAGAGATAGTGAGAGAGAGAGGGAGGGAGCGACAATGAGCGATACTGCGATGATAATTGTAAAATCCAGCCGAATCTTTTCTTCAGAACCCCTCTCCACCGTCCCGCACTATCGTCAGAATCGACCGGATCCATTGGCTTTTGATAATGGTATGAGACTTTCGCGTCCCTTTAAAATTCGCCAAATTCAGCCATCGCCAAGGGCAAATACAGCAACGGGGTGCGCGCGCAGATTCAGAAAAGCCAACGTGAGTTAGTTCAATATTTCGGGTATTTTAGCGCTAAAAATGAGAGATTTTTTGAAATTTTGGGTGCATGGAGGTGGGCAAGGCATGCGTCTGATCTCGTTGCCCGTATTACGTATTACTTCAGACAAAATTCGTCAAATATCCATAGAAAAAACCCATAGAAATGCATTAAGCATCTCTTTAAAAAGTAGCAATTTTCGAAACGGAGGAATTGTTTGCTATTTTGTGACTAAACAGTAGGCCCTGCGCCAAGAGTGTTGTTTGAAAATGGTATTAGCTGGGCCCCGGGTGCCCCCAAATGTTGACCTCTCCCCCCACTGGGACAGCCAAGAAGAAGAAGCTGACCGGTCTTGTTAGGGCCACTTTGCATCGTTTTTTGTACGATCCCGACCCAGAAAACCTGTTTTTTTGCAGCGATCACTGCACTCGGGAGGACGCTTTCCGAAATTAAGGCCCGTCAGAGTATGGAGACGCTGGTGGAGAGGTTGGTTTCACTCGAATCAACGTCTTTTTTGACAAATTCTTGATTGGAAATTTTTTCTAAATGTACTTAGCTTACTTTATCATTGTTCTTGGTTTCTATGCCTTTAAGAACGTTTGAAAAATCCCTAAGATCGACTTGAAAATATCCAAAAGCATAGAATCTTCCTCTCTGCCCAGTTGCGCTCGACAGCTAGGCTTAGGCTTAGGCTTAGGCTTAGGCTTAGGCTTAGGCTTAGGCTTAGGCTTAGGCTTAGGCTTAGGCTTAGGCTTAGGCTTAGGCTTAGGCTTAGGCTTAGGCTTAGGCTTAGGTTAGGCTTAGGCTTAGGCTTAGGCTTAGGCTTAGGCTTAGGCTTAGGCTTAGGCTTAGGCTTAGGCTTGGCTTAGGCTAGGACTAGGCTTAAGCTGAAGCGCGCGATGCGAAGAACTGTGCGCACACATAGCAAAACCTCGTAACTGTCGAGGCCTAGTAGGGGAAGCGGGCCGATTCTCACGCTTCCCAACAGCTTTAATTCAAGCATTTTTAGTAGTCCCTCTCGCCCTTCCTCCACGACCCCGTTTGACCCGGCGCTTCTCACCTGTTCCTCGAGGCTGACCACCAGGAGTGAGCACGATCTGCTGCCGCCAAAGTCTCCGAGAACCGAGTGAGTTGGATCCGCTGTCTTTTTATTGCGTAATCGATTAGACACGATACACGTTCGTGTTGTCCAGAGGCCGAAATCCATCGAAAATCGTTAAAACTATATTAATTAAAAAAAGATGAATATTCGTGCCATCATTTATCCATAGTCAGGTAGTATCGTTAAATTTTTGCCTTCCGAGCCCCTTGAAAAACTGATTACTGCTACTTTACACCATTTTCAGGACCAGTAATCTCCCGTGGAGAAGCCCAGGGACCGCAGCCCCACCGCCACTACCGAAGGAAAGCCGGTAAATTCATAAAAATATAAATTCTGTCAATTTCCAATACGAGAATAAATGAAGCATCTGTTATGTATTAAACACAACGATTTTTTAGCACAACAACCCCTTCAAACCCTGGCAACATTGAGGAATTTGCCTCGATGCGACGTGGCCGGGAAAGTGGCTTACCAGCGCCGGAAGGGCCAAGGATACGATACTACTCGGCTTCTCCGAAATTGCCAAGGGTAGGAATTTGGTTTAAATTACCTAAATTTAATAGTTTAACCGCTTAAATCCAAAACACGAATATTTTGGGGCCTTTTATAGCAAAAATGACATCTAAACGGATTTTTCAGAGATTCACGGCAGCGCCGAACTTGGATGAAGCCGGTTTGAATGGCCATTCGGTGGAAAATGGGGTATGTTTTGTATATTAACTGTTACAGCTTTTAGAAAATTTTCTAAAATTTATACAGTATCCAAATCCCATAAAACTAGCCTCTTTTTAGCACACTAATGGCCACCACCATCCTGTCGCCCCTCCCAAACCGCCACCAAGAGATGTAAGTTTTTCATAAAACATCATTTTTTAAGTTTTTTTCATCTAGATTGCCATTCGTTTTTATGTTACAAAACAATGCTTCAATGAACTTTAGACACGCTCGATTTCCGTTGGCACCGGCCCGATCCCACCGCCGAAACCTTGCATCGAGTGCCCGGAGCTGAAGAAACGTCTCGACTACGTTGTCGCAAAGTACGAATCCTACAAAAACTATAAAACATGAAATTATTGTAGTCCAGCCATCCCTGAGAAGCCCAAGATGCGCGAGTCCGGTACTTGTACGGCGGCTAGGCCGGTGGGTAGTCAATTTTTATTTTATGATCCTTACTCTGAAGCTTTTTGCTTCTATCTCTCTAGTTCCACCTTTCTCTTTCTTTCTCTCTCTCTCTCTCTCTCTCTCCCTCTCTCTCTCTCTCTCTCTCTCTCCTTCCATCGTTCCTTCTCTTTCTAATTCCCGGCTCGCTCTCGCTCACGCCCAACCCTCTCTGCTCTATGTCGACTAGGTACGACGCATTCCGCCATACACAAAGTGCGTAGCGCGTAGTAGCGCAACGTACTCTTACGTAGCGTAGTGCGAATAGATTCAGTCGGTGGGTTACGTCAATATGCAAAAGCGCGTACTGCGTAGTAGTGTAACGTACGCGTAAGATACCTATAGAGAATCATATCGTAACCAGCGCCCAAAACCCGCTTCGCGGGCCTTGGGCGCTGGAATTGGGCCTTTGCATGAAAAATTTGACTTTCCGATAGCTCGGGTCCTTCGGACCCCTTCCCCCACCGACCACACACGCGCGGGCAAATTGCAAGAATGAGGAAATTTGTATTTTTTCATATTATGCAAATTACCCCCAAAAATGAATAAAACCGGCTTTAACTTTGTAAACTTGTATCCTACTATATATAAAAAAATAGTGTCTGTGTGTGTGTAGACACTTTGCATAAAAACCCGGGTTCCAGCCATAACTCGAAGGCGAAAGAATTTTTTGGTCCAGAAATAAGGTAGTTAGGGGTAGTCGAGGGCGTAGATTACTGCACGCTTATCAGATTTTTACTAAAATTTCGTTTTATACCTTATTTTAACGTTTTAAAAACATATGGAAATAGACTAATTTGCATACGAGGCGCTAGGAGCCTCATTTTGGCTTTTGTCGCGCTCGCGGCCGGTTGCTTTTGCTATTTTTTAGGGTTCGCTCTAGCTCTTCGCCCGAATTATGCAAACCCCACTTTGAAAGATCCCCGCGCAAAAGCCAGGGGTGAAAAGCCGCGTAGCGGCTTTTCAACCCTGGTTTTATCTAAATTCTGAAAACGCCATCGGAAAGAGGAGGGTCGATTCCCCCTAGTGACAAAAAATCAGCACATTTCATCCAGGGGGAAGGCCCTTAAATCGGGCCTCGAAAGTGACATCCACACACACACACACAGTTACACCCCAAAATTATATAAGGTAGGATCATTAGCGAAAGTACCTGCCCTAGTTTAGTTTAATTAGTGAATGTATGATGACTATAGTTGTCATTTTCATCCCTCACCCCCCAATAAATTAAACCCCGTAATCGTCGGCGCACGCATCGGCGTCTTTTGTAAAAAACGCCTTCATACCGGAGGGAAACCAAGAGGAGCATGAGCAAGAGGAGCACAAACATAAAGCATTGGTATGAGCATGAGCAAAACCTTGCCCCTTCCCTCCGCAGTCCTTTAGACCCGTAATAAAAGAGTCATAGCGACTCACCCGCTCCACGCACACAATCCCAAGCAAGATGTTTCCCCGGCTCTCACTACCGGCCGGGAGGAATCCATTCCTCTGGTCCATTCTAGTACCGTTCTATCCTATGGACACCCTGAAAGATTGCCATCACAATTCGTGGGCCTGGGACTGGGTGCAGGTGTGAATTTGGAGGATTTTTACATCGATCACACTTAATTTTTTGATTTTATTTGTATTGAAATTTATCGAAGAATATTTATCTCTTTTTCAGCATTAATTAGTAAAAAGCCAATTTTGCGTAGATGATCATGAAAAACCGACATTCTTGGCGTCTAGATTTTTCTTGAAATTGGTTTTGATCTTGCATTTTTTGTATCCGAATTTTTAAAAATGATTTAAGGATTTCTTAAATTTGTTAATATGCATAAAACCGCGTAAGAAATTTATTTTGCTTAGAAAGGAATTATTTTTAACAATAGAAGTGTATTTTCGTAATTTTTGATAGGTCATTTTCCGTATCTTCCCGCAACAGTGGGTTTTGAAGAATTTTCGAAAATATCTAGACACATTCAAAAAACAGGAAACAAAGGAATTTTTGAGGTTGTGCCTCGCAATAAAGCAATTAAATCGAAAATGTTACAATTGACAAGTTGTTCATCTCCCAAAAACTTCTTTCCAGACGGTCAGCGACGCGTGCATCGGCGCCGACAAGCTCACCCAGATCAACATTGGCATCGCCACCGATAAGTATGAAGAGCCGAAACCGGAAGTCCTGCATCAGGTGATTAATTTTTCTAAAATTTATGGTTTTTTAGGAAGCTCAAACGCCCCAAAAAGAGCTGCTCTCCGTCGGCGTCGAGATACGGCCAAAGATGTATACCGTAAACCTCGATACTTTTGACTTGGAGAAGCGCGAGCTGGCCCATACTTCGTGTAACACGGATGGGGAATTTGGTAAGTTGACTCGAGAATTTGTGAGTTTTGGTACTAAACTGTTAGCGGGGGGGAACGAATTTTTGATTGTTCCGCCTGCCGCAGCTGCCAATCAAGTTACTGTATTTGCATACTGCTTTAGCGGTGTTGAATTGCTATAACGTTATAAACACATCTTTTCAAAAATCAAAAATTTTTGAAGTTGTCTATTCCGAGATTTTTGACCAAAAACCTTTCTACGACCTCATCCAGGTTTCTACATACAGGGAAAAGCCGATTGCCTGGCTAACCACCTCCACCCCCCCCCCCCGCTAACAGTACAGTGCCGATTTTTTGGAAACAAAACTTTGAAAATCTTCTGAAGTAATTTTGTTAACTATGTCATATATTTTTCGCCTTCATCGATCCTAATTTAAGCTCCTATTAAAATAACGGACTGACTTTACGATTTTCTTTAGAGTTACTAGTCTCTTTTTGGTATAATCGGTTGAATTTAAAGATGTTCCATTTTCGAATTTCTTAATTTGCATACGATCGCCGGTTTTTTGGTTATTATATTCGCGCGCATCTAAAATCCTGAACCCGATCCCGGCATGCCAGTCTCGCCATACAGCTGACAGAAGAGCGAGAGAGCGATAAGAATTGGCGCGAAAAGCCTATTCTTCCGGCCATCCAAGCCCCCTTTCCGAGCATTCTGTCCAACAAAAACGGCCGATCTAACATTCTCCCCCCCTTCTGTGAATGCAACAATGAAAAAGCGGCTGCTCCGTTCTCTACGACCCTCCTGTCTACGTGGTATGGGTTGGGTTATTAGTTTTATTTAATGGGTATTGTCGCGTAGGGACAATGAGCTAGATGCTGTAAATTGGTGCTAATAATACTGGGAAGAGATATTTATGATTTAGTGTTATTTCAAAAAGATTTTGCTTCAGAAAGCAACTTTTAAAGGGACGTACAAGGCATTACTAACAACGGAACCACTTAAGGTGAAGATGACGTTTCGGTACGGGGCTAAGCATATTTTGTACGGAATTTTTCGCTGATTCCGAATCCGCTTTCAATTTTTCCTAAGTAACCCGCTTTTAAAAGTCATAGCGTTTCAAAAAATTCCACTTTTATGGGGCGTGCAAGGCATCCCGTTTTTCGATTACGTAAATGATTACAAACTACTTACAACAGCCGAGCGGCCGGCGCGTGGCGTATCGCGGGAGCGGAATTTTTTAGGGTATCCATCGAGCGTAAAATCTAGAGCGTTACTTGACTTGTCCCTGTAAAACGTCTTTTCCCCGGCGCTCTTTCACTCGCCATTTTCAGTCCCAGCCGAGCCATCAGTACCCGTCGAAGAAAAATGCTACGTCGACGGCCACTCTCAATTCGAGACGATTACGGTAGAAGTGGGATGCGGTGCGGAGATTGACGTGAAACACAGGTCTGAATTTAAATTTTTGAAGCTTGAAGCACGGGCATTGAAAAATGTCTTTACCGAGCTATACGGCAAGTTAGCAGAGGCCCTTTTGGAGTCCGCGATGGCTTGAAACCACGCTAATAAGGGAAATTCCAGTGAAACAATGACGAATCGCGTCTACCAAAGGACCTTGCCTGTACAAACTACAGAAGTGGAGACGAAAGAAATGGCCTGCAGTCCTGTCGCATCACTTTTAGAGCTTCATATTGAGGAATTGAAAGCGCAGGTTAGTATTTGGCTTATTTAGAAAATCGATCCATACCTCCGCCTTGCCTTGTCCTTTAAAAAATTGCGGATTTGCCCAATTTATTAAAACGACTGTCAAGAATACCCCTCTTTTAGCTAGCGGCCGCTTCGATCGCTTCCTCCCCGGCCACCCCTTCCACTTCAGATGCCGAGGCTCAAACAGAATTGGGTAGGAAATTAATGGCAAAGTTCCAAATTTTCTGCAGAAATCGAGCTCCTTCACGAGCTGTCCGAGCCGCGGCTTTTTGCTGAGGCTGAATTGACGGATAGTATCTGGTTATCGCCCGAGAAAGTGATGTCCGATGCGTCTTGCGAGACTGAAGAGGTATGAAGCGGTTTTAAAGGGACTAGGAGGCTAGCTGGCCTGTTGATGATTGCCTGTATTGGCCCTTCTTTCGGCTAGGTCTAGACAGCTATGATATAGTTAAACGACGCGTTTTAGCGTATATATATTTCGGTATTATCTAGCGCAGATTGTAGTTGTCGAGACCCGATCGATAGTAGGTAGATTCTAGCGCTTTCCAACACCGTTAAGAGCCAGCTTCAAATTCGGCATCCACCAAAGTATTTCCATTTTTAGGTCGAAGCTCCGGAATGTGAAAAATGCCATCAGAAAGAAAACGTCTTCTTGCGAAACGTGGGCGTCGGGGCTTGCTCGGTGACGGACAAGGTTTGTGGAAATTTCGGGGGATTGCGTCGCACTACCCTCAAATAACCATGATTCACGTGTGAATTTTGAAGTGTGAACATCACTAAATCTGTCACTAATCGTTAAGAAAAGAGAGTGAGAGAGCGCCAAAGAAAGAGAGAGAGAGAGAGAGAGAGAGAGAGAAAGAGAGAGAGAGCAAGGGTGAACCTCACCCCTTCCGTTTCTAGGTGTGTGCCGGTTGTGATGAGGCCATGGCCGAAGTCGACGAGAATGAGGTTTGGCCACTTGCACCTGCATGAAATTTTTCGTTAATTTTAGATACTTTTCTCTGTATAGGTTGGTGCAGCAATACACGCTGTAAAAACCATGTTTTAGGTCCCCGGCTTCTCCCCACCGACCATCGAGTTGACCCGGGCAACGGCAACCAAAAAGCTGCTCGAGCAGACGACACCATTTGTCAGGTATCGGCAGTTAATTTTGCCTATTTAAGTTTTTTGTTTTTTAGAGGCACCCAAATTTCGCGGTCTTGCCGCGAGACGAAACGGAGCAATTCGGGAGACGATTTGGAGTACCTGGAGCAGCAGCATATTAAGAAGGCGCAGGTGGGACTGAACTGACTAAAAAAAAAACTGAAAAAAAAACCAAAAAAAACAAAACTGAAAACATCTGGAAACTGCTAAAATTCGAATTCCCGACATTTTTCCCAGGCCCCAATTCGATACGGGTAGAATTTTGCCTTCCTAGTCCCTTTAGGCTTACCAAGATATCCTACAGCTTTTAGCTCTGAGCTTTTGACCAATTTGGGAGCCACAATTTCCTTCTGGACGTGTCTGGGCCCCGCGACACGCAACGCGCACGCCGCCATATGGCTTTGTAAAGCCGAAATCCATTACGTAACGGAATTATGTTGCGTGTTGCGCGAAGATTTTTTCGCTTCTCGGTCCTTTTAAACCTCCACCCTGACTCTAGCAGTGGAATCCTCCAACTTTGATACGATTACTGTTAGCCACCTAGCCACAGTACCGAGCCGGTGGTGCAGAACCTGTCTTGAGTAGCGCTGCGTAGGCCGGCACCTGGAACATATCCGAGCGGTGTTCCCTTTCGGATCACCACCGCCACCACTACCCGACTGGCCACTTTTTAGCACGAGGCTGTGCTCCTGCGGTCCGGAGCATCGTTTCGGGGGAGCCTCGGGAGATTAGCCAAAGGTTTTTTGGGAGTAGGAAAATCCCATGCGTTCTCTGCCAGGTTTCACATTTCGGTTCCATTGCGCTCCTCTTTACGGCTTGGTAAAGTGGTATTACACCTTTGGCTCCACTTATCGGGTATTCGTTAAATTATTTTAAAAATTGAACTTTTTGCAAAACGAAACGCTTTGAAAATTCCCCAGCCATCCCAAGCGCTTTAAAAGCCATCAAGTCACCACTGTTGCCTCGTAGCATGACGGAATTCGAATCGCTAATGTATCGAGAAAGGCGCGCGAGCACTGACGGGGGCAAAACGATGGGTTTGCAAAGGGGGTTCAAGGGGGGTGAAGGAGCTGATTGTGATTTTCCCTCCCACCACCCCTCAATTCCCCTTTAGGGGGTTTGAATTGTGAAGGATCGGCACTCAAGGTCTCTCTCTCTCGCTCTCTCTCGCTCTCTCTCTCTTTCTCTCGCGGCCTTGTCATGTAAATCGTGAAATGCCCGCTGATGCATGGTGTAAGCCTTCTCGACAGTTTACGATCAGTTTTTCCATCGAGAGTAGGAGAGGTTTTTGGAATTTTTAAAGTTTACCAGTAGCTATTCGGAATTCATGATTTGCTATAATAAGTGAGATGTTTTTAGCGTTTTTATATGCAAATTAGGGGCTCATCTATGTCTCGTTTCCTCTCGCTCCTCTCTCTCTCACTCTCTCTCGCTCTCTCTCTCGCTCTCTCTCGCTCTCTCTAGTCCTCTTTTACCCTTTTAAGGGTTAGCAAGTCTAAACTCCAATAGTTCATGCTCGATTCCGAGCTCAAGCTAAGCCGTTCCTTCCCTACGGCAATAAATTAGCGCCTCCCCTCATCCTCCTCCTCCTCTCCTGGCTAAGCTTTTGAGGTTTCGCCGTCAAGGCCACAAAACCTCTGCCGCCGATCCGATCGTTGGCTTGCTTGGCGTGTTCTCATCTCCATTTTTCGCTACTTGAATAATCTATCTTTTCTACCACTTCTATTTTTCATTTTTCGATACCGTTGGGCTAACGAGCAGACTATTTCCGAAATGATCTCGATAAATGGGTGCACCCTGTACATCACTCGGGTGGTGATGAATGAAGATGGACCAGGGACTGCAGCTACGGAAAGCGAGCACAGCTACGGTTCCGATGGGGGCTACTGCTCGGCCGAGGAGGTATCGGGAATTAACTCCCGTCGTGACTGTTTATTCTTAACGGGACTAGGAAGGCAAAAACTACCTAAAATATCTAAAAAGACTTAAAAATAGAACTAAAATAAAAGAAAGAAATTACAAAGCAAGAAGTCAGGAAATAATGAAAGCACCCTTAAACGATGGTTACCAAAATAAAACTTTTATTTTAGAAAGAGCCATCACCTTCGTCTGCCCCAACCGTTCCTTCCATTGATAACGCCGAAGCGTTGACCGGAAAGGTCGTGCTCAAGAAGGTAGGCTTAACATTGAGTGGTTTCTCTTGTCTGGCTCTCTACCTTACTCGTTCTGTTCTCTCTGTCGCTCGCTGTCTCTCTCTCTCTCTCTCTCTCGCTCTTCTCTATCTCTCTCTAGCTCTCACACGCTGTCCATCCCTCTCTATATCTCTCTCCTCTGTCTCTCGCTCGCTCGCTCTCTCTCTCTCTCTCTCTCTCTCTCTCTCTCTCTCTCTCTCTCTCTACAATTGTGTATTTTAAGGAACCAGCAACTCCTTCACCATGCAAAGTTCCGGACCCGATCCCAGCTCGGATTCCGCGGCCAAAGATTAGCAAGGTAACTTTGGAGTACGAATTTCTTTATATATCATTCCTGACTGCCTGTCGCTTTAAAGGGAAATTGTTTGGCTTAATATGCGTTTTAACAACTTTTATAGCAACCCTTTTACAGTACGCCGTCCCCCATGGTGAGGCCGAGACCCCGGACGAGATGGACGAGGCTCAGGATCGACTGACTCCGCTGCGCTCCGAGCTACGGGTACTCGGAAGGTGGAATCGGCCAAATACCTACGAGCCGCCAGTAGAAGAGCGATCATCAGAAGGGACGAGAACAAGGTAAAAATTAGACTCATGGCTGTCACTCTCCCTTTAAAAGTTTTTTTTACTATTTTGTACACTGCTGTACGGGTACGTTTTGTTGACCTTTTCAGCCGCTCCCTCCCGCGGACGTTCATTGTGAACGCTGTGTGGTGTACGAAAGGGTAAAGATGAATTACGTGTATAGTATCGCTTAGTTTGGAGCAGTACGGATAGATCCTAATTTCTTCCGCCTTTGGTGTATTCTGCCCCCCAATTGACATCCCGTGTAGATGCCTATTCACTAATCTGGAAAACGTTCTGGAAAACTCCAAAAATTCGATATTTTTCAGCGATTCTGATGGTGAGGGCGCCGAGTCCGACGACAGTGAGGGAACCTACGAGTGTCAAGTAAGTATCAAAAAATCACGTTAAAGGGATGCCGACGGCATAGTCAATCAGTTACGCGCGGAAAAGAAAATGTCTCTGCGCCTTTCCCTTGGGCGCGCTCTCTGCCCTGTTGGCTACTTGCCAATTTGTTGATGAGGGGGGATCGACACATGCCGTCGGCAGCCCTTTAAGCACATAACCTAGAAAAAGTAAAAAAAAATACCGTAGCCATTTTTTTAAGAATTTCTTCGATTTTTGACCTAATGATATTTCGAACTATTTCTGTTTCCACTTTCTATTTAGCTTCAAATATTTTTAGAATCGCAAAATCCTAATTTATTGATAAATTTTACAAATTAGCGAACAATTATGGTTACCTATTTATTACTATTTATTCGCACTTTTGAAATTTAGCCAAAAAAGATATTTTTGCATACCGCAAAGTACCGAAACGATGACTTAAAATTCCTAAATCAAAGCTGCTAGTTTTCCTCTAAAAACAATAATCAAACATTTTTTAGGACGAACTCACCGAGGGCACCCCATTCGAAATCTCTGCCCCATTGATGGACGCCCTGAATTCGTTGAATGGTCATCTACAAAACATCGAGAAAGAACCTACGGTAGGCTTTTGAATGTACACTAAAATACTCCTAACGTTATAGGAATGGGCCCTAAAATACGTTCAGCACGAGTGGCTAAAAACCGCGGCGCGGAAGAACTCGCAGGCCGCGCATGTTGAGGTAGATGATCTCAGATTCCTTGATATATTTGAGTCTTTAGGTCCTACTTGAAGCCATCCGGGGCATTGATGCAAAGCTGCTGAAAGCCGTTGTCAATCTGACCGACCAGAATGGGAATTCTGCTCTGCATTATGCCGTTTCGCACGGAAACTTCCCGGTGGTGTCGTCGTTGCTGGACTGTGGGGAGTGCGAGCTGAACTTGGCGAACAAGGTGGGACTTCGGCTTAGGTTCAACCATATTTTTGTGGATAGGCTTGGGCTCAGGCTTAGCGTTTGGCTTATTCTCAGGCTTGTTAGGTTTGGTTTTGGGCTTCACATAGGTTATGCTTAGGCTTAGGCTTAGGCTTGAACTGGTCTGGACTGAAAATTTTCGTTTATAAATAGAACGTTTTTTGACAATTTCAGGCCGGCTACACCCCGGTAATGCTGGCGGCGCTCAGCAACCTGGACGACGACATCGAGAAGACTGTCGTCGCCAGGTACCGATTTTTCGGAATTCGGAATCAACCGATAAATATTTTTCCAGACTCTTCCAAGCCGGTGACGTCAACGCGAGGGCTACACAACACGGCCAGACCGCGTTGATGCTGGCTGTATCGCATGGAAAATTCCCCACCACGCAACTGCTCATTGAGAATGGGGCTGACGTTAATATTCAGGTAGGTTGAAATAGAAATCGTGAATCGAGTTTATATCGATAAATTCCAGGTCTTTTAATAGAGAAATTCGACCTGAAAGCAACCGAATTCCATTTTTCTAGGATGAGGAGGGATCCACAGCTCTTATGTGCGCAGCTGAACACGGCCACCGCGACTTGGTCAAGTTGCTCCTCGCCCAGCCCGATATTGATGCTCAGCTCGCCGATTGTGTAGGTTTTGCTTAGTCAGAAACTTAGCTAATGCTAGGCTCAGTCGCTACCTCAAGCTCAGGCTCATGCTCCAGCATAGCTTGTCTACTTCAATCCGTTTCAGGACGCCTCCACCGCCCTGAAAATCGCCGTCGAGAATGGGCACAGCGACATCGGGGTGCTCATCTATGCGCATCAGACCTACACCAGGCCCGACTACGCATAAGAAGAGAGAGGGAGAGAGTGAGAGAGAGAGAGAGAGAGAGAGAGAGAGAGAGAGAGAGAGGGAGAGAGAGAAAAAGAGGGAGCGCGCCTTTTATGTTTTTCTCCTGTGATTTTTGTCATCCACCTTCAGCTCAACACCACAAACTTGCCTTCAGAATTCCGGATATTGAATTTTTTGCCTTAAATTTCTATTTTTTTAATTTAATCAAATTTTCTTGTCTCAGCACTTACCTCCAAAACTACATAATTTATTCAACACCCTTTTTGTCCACTTGAATCTGTGATTTTTGAGAATTAGTTGCCCAATGGAACTTCTACATTTCACTGGCGATAGTACGCTTTGGTACTTCTCTTTTTTCAAGTTTTGCCGTTTTTCTGCCTGAAGAATTTTGAAAACGATTTTTCTAATGAGCTGATGAGCCAACATTTTAAAATTCGAGGCTTGCCATACAAAACGGCTAAGTTCACGAAAAAAGCTAAAAAAGTCAAGGAAGACTGAAGCATACTCGTCAATAACCTTTTCTACCACTACGAGTATTACTGTATACGATATATAGAAAGAGAAAAATAAACGATTTATAACGTTATTCTGGCAAGCCTGACATGATAGAAACTGAGCAAAAAAACGGTAGGTAACGGGCATCCAAAAATATAATTATTCACTTAAAAACAGAAAAATGAAGATAAACCTGAACATAATTAGCATACAAAGTAGAGTTAACATTATTAACTGAATTAGGCGGATCAAAGTGGATAAGGTAGCACACACGGCGAATCGGGGAGGCAATACTTGGGCCGGAGGATCTGTATTGTGGCGGAAAACATGAGTTTTTAGGGTTTTTACCACATTAGCATTTTAAAGGGACTTGGAAGGCAGATTTGTAGGCGCAGATTAAAATTCATACCATCTAAGGTTCCTTTAAAAACCGTAAAATTGCACAAAACGTAAAAATTGGACTGAGATGTGATGAGGGGACTAGGTAGAGCATAATCCGATGGTTATAAACGGAATGTGAAATATTTAAGAGGCTAATGGCACATATTAAATTATTAGAAAAAATATTTTAGAAAATACAGACTAAAAGTGTTCCTATGACCAGTACAAAAAATTGGGAGTAGAGTATACTTATTTAGACTTGGAGAAAAGATTGAAGAGCCCTCGACGTTTTTTCTGGTTTGACGTTTTTCGATCAGGGAGATGGCCGTCGCTTCTGAAAAAATCGTCATTCGTAACGTATTTCGCTCTCGCTTTCTTTTCCTCGCTTTCTTTTCCGCTCTCTCTCTCTTTTTCTCTCTCTCTCTCTCACTCTCCCACTCTCTTCATCTTATCTTGTTATTTGGAGTATCGACAATTCCAAAAACTCACTCATTACTATCGACACTCTCGCTCCTGGTGTCGCTAAACGTGGCCTTCCGCTGCATCAGGGTGGCGGGAGGGCTGACTGGGGTTCCCGGAGTTCCAGGCGTACTCGGGGTAGGCGGGGCATCGGTTGAAGGGATGCTGTTTCTAAACGCAACTCCTCGTATCGGATGTCTTAAATTATATACAAACCTATCCGTTATCGACAACGATTTCATCGCCGAAATACCCCGAGGTATCGTTTTTGCGCCGGCGAAGACAGAGCGGTTTGCCTGAAAAATGAAAGTTTTTTGGTTTGCGCAATTCTTCATGATTTTATTAGAGTCATTACATCATTAGAATTTTTACACATCATTAGAGTTATTTTCATGGGTAAAAACAGGTGTTACCTGCAAAAGCTCGTGCGCCGACCCGATATTACGGCCCGGGTCTCCTTGGGGTGTGATTTTGACGTAAACGAGCAGGCTGCTGAGCTCGATCTCCTCGCTGAATTGGTTCTTCAGCGGGACCGAGCGGTAGCCTAAAAGGATAGTTTTCGTCTCTCTCTCTCTCTCTCTCTCTTCTTACCTGTCCTAATGCAGTCAAGCGGAAACACGGCTTGCCCGATGAAAGGATCTGTTTTCGGGCCCACAAAATCACCATCTTCCACCTGAATTTTTATATATTACTCTGCTCTCGCTCTCTCTCGCGCTCTCACTTTCTCTCTCACGCACTCACTCTCTCTCTCGCTCTCTTTTTCTCTCTCTCACCCACTTTCTCTCTCCCTCTCGCTTTCTATAGCAAATCCCGGCCAACCCTAAAAACCTACCACAAACCGTATCAACGCCATCTCCGGGCACTGCACCTGATACTCAAAGCTGTTGTTCCACACCGGGTTCAGCCCGTTCGACGCTAAAAATGGGCTCGTCTACCGTAACCCATTTTTTGTACCGATAGTTTTCGTCTTGTAGGCCATATTATCGCAATCCACACCTATCACCTCTACTTCCACGTACGGCGAGCAGATACCCTAAAACGGTACGTTGCATTTGGATTCTAAACCCAAAAGAACAACCCGAAAACGATTAAACTAGGCTAAAAATTTCCCCCTCCATAGTATGAATTCTTTAGACGAAGTGAACCGGCGAGGATCTAAATGCTTTTTTAAAATTAGTTAATTAGTTATTAATTTTATTTAGCTGAGATTATATAGAACTGTCTAGGTTTAAAAACCGATATAACTAATGTTTTGCTTTTGATACCTTATTTTTGTCCTTTCTCGACAGATGTCGTCCAGCGATAACGGTGATTGTAAGCGAAATCGGGGTCGACGTTTGGAGCTGGAATACCTTACTTTAAAGGGATAGCGGCGGACAAAAAACGTGCAATAAATATCCCAGGTCTATCGTTTATTGGCACATCGTAGTCTGAGCCACCGACTACGTAAGGCTACTTTGGACTTCGGTACTTTGTGAGCGCTAAGAAATTGTCTCAATGTATGGTTTTTACGTTTAACTGCGCATAAAAAATATTTTTGACGCCTAAATTATTCCCGCATTATTTTTTGGCTTTAAAAAAGTATATTTAATTCGGATTGCAAAAACAAAGCCTCGCGTAGTCATGATCCAGAAAAACGAATGGATTTTCATACCTTCTCCGCCTGGATCGGATCATAGTTCGGATCGATGATGTAAGCGGGTTTCAGGATATAACCGCATTGGCCGTTTGCCAGAAATTTTCCCTGGTTTAGCTGCATTGGTCGATCACCTGTTTGGTAGTTCAGGGCCACCTGGAAAGAAGTGCAGCATTAATTATTCCCGTTTATTAAAAAAGAAAACTTAAGATGAAGCTAAAAACTGACAAAAATACCCTGAAAACGCTGAAAATTACCATATGACACCCGGCGTTCCACATGGGCATCGGGTTGAAATTGGCGGATGTGATGCGAGAGCCGAGGGGGTAGACACGCGTGATTTGGCGAATGTTGAACGTGACGAGGCCCTAGAATTCTTGTTTTGAAGGGGGGTGTGGATTCGTGAAGTGGCAGATTTTGTTAAGACCTGGCTTTTAAAGGGATTTGAAGTGAACATTATAAATTTTTCTAGCTAAACATTTTTATGGCTGTTCGATTTTTCATTTTTACATTCAAAAACTTTCTCAAAAAATCCGAAAAACAAGCAGCATCTTCCCTACTCCCACCTTTTCCAACAGCTTCTCCAGCTTCGTCTCGACGAACGAGCACATCTCCCAGAATTTGCCGTGACCCACACGTTCCGGGTTAAAGGGGACCGCCTAGAAATTTGCACAAAATACGAAACGCCCCAAATCACAATACCTGACAGTAGACGACCAAGTTCGAAAGTTCAGACGCTATCCGGGCCGTCTTTTCCTTGGTGCGCAGGATCGAGACCCTTTCGTTAACGGATCGGGTCAGGTCCCAGAGTTGGTTTTGCCATTCTGCTGCGTCCTCGGGGCTAAAAAGAGGATAAAACAGTTTAGGCCCACGCACAAGCTTTGGCATAGGCTTAGGCTTAGGCTCAAGCTTAGCTTAGGCTTAGGCTTAGGCTTAAGCTTAGGCACAAGCTTAGGCTTAGACTTGGTCATCCCTGTCTTATGCTGCATCTGGTCTACTTACTATTAGCTGCGAGAGTCCAGGACACGCCACTCCAATGGTCGCCGGCTTGCTGTATCCGGATGGCGTATTCCTTATCACATTCGCCCTCTGGGATCTGGAAATGAAGGAATTTGGGGGGGCAAATAGATCGTTTTCCATGCCGTTTTAAGCATTAAAAGTAGCATTAACGTTACTTATACTTCATTTATGCGAACCGGAAACCAGTTAGATCAAAGGTACAGACAAGGAAGTAAAGGTACCTTGTTAATGATCGTCCCCGCCAATTCGATCGTCCCGTATTGATAGTCTAAATCATTTTTATAGCTTTAAGTGGAAAAAATACCATTTGCACCATTCTCCTTCTGGTTCTTCTGGGCAACGACCTCTTGCACGTAGGCTGGAGGGAACCAACCAGTGCTCGAGCCGTATCTGAAAAATCAGCATAGAGCTTTCTCTACGTCGTTTTAATCTCCATTTTAATGCAATTAAACGAGTTTACTTCGAGAAACCGCAAAATATCCCTACCGTCCTCTCCAAAAGTTTTCTTCTTTCCTGAGTACTGTAATGACGGCGTTTACCGGAAATGAGAGCTCGTCGTCTCGGACGGCTTTATATGGGCGGAGGGCTCGGGCTTGGATCTGAAAAATGGGCTTAGGGTTCGGCTTTGGATTCGGCTTAGACTTAGGTTTATGTTGGGCCTAGGCTTAGGCTTAGGCTTAGGCTTAGGCTTAGGCTTAGGCTTAGGCTTAGGCTTAGGCTTAGGCTTAGCCTTAGGCTTAGGCATAGGCTTAAGTCAACGTTACTAACCTCTTTATCCAAATCCTTCAAATCCATATAGCACCCCGGAGCCGCCTCGCCGTGCTCCATCGAAGCGTACTGCCCGACGTCTTTTTCATTTACCTAAATTTTTAACGTAATTTAACCGCCATAAGAACCAAGAATATTTTTTTGCGATCTACTGTAAGACAACTAAAAACCCAAATTTATTTTTTATCGTTTTAACTCACCGGAAACTTGAGACAAATCCCTCTGACAAAATCTTTGTTCGAGTAGTACTCCACGATCTGGCACAAATTCTCGAAGACCATCTGATTGACGATGAATATCCGGCCGTCGCGTTTCAGGCGATAGTGCCAGAATTCGCCGTCAACCCTAGATAAATCTACCTTAAAAATTAACCCATTCTCCTACCGTAACGATAGCACAAAGACGTTCCGATCAGACGAGCTATGTCGTATCAAATATGCGCCATCTTCTTTCACCGTATTCAGAAGCTCCTCGGCCTTGCCTTTATCAGCAGTGTCTGAGTACCATCTGAAAAGAAGGAGAGTCACAGCTACGCTACGCTCCAACTTACGGCATGCCCAGATGGGGTTGAGGTTGCGGACATGCGATGGTGAGGCACGTCTTGAAGTTGGGCGTGACGAGGGGTTGCCCGGTGTAGTAGGAGATCAGCAGGTACAGCGTGTCCATCATCTTGTTGTCGAGGAAGTAGTACTTTTTGTCGCCTGTAAGTTGGAGAGATACATAAACATAGACTGTAATATTTTTCCAAGCTATACGACGGGCCAGGTGACGTATCCAAGCATAGTTAATATTTTCTAGAGAAAATTCTATTAAGTGCCGTCTGGCGCGTAGCGTAACGGTAACGTAACGCTGCGTCAAACCTTTTTAAAGGGGATACCATCCTTCCACTCACCCTGCTGCATCTGCGTCTTTATCCGCACGTGGTGCACCTTGTTGCCATATAGAAATGAGAGCGAGTAGTCGCCGAGGAAGGTTGTCGATTCCCGAACCAAGAACACGCCATCGCCCTTCTCGGAAGCTTCCTTGAGTCGATTTTCAGCGGCCTGAAAGGGATGAGAATGTACTAGAGAAAGGGAGAGCGTGACAGTGAGAGCGCGAGAAAGAGAGAGGGAGCGAGAGAGAGCGAGAGAGAGAAAGAGAAGATGCCTATTAAGGGTTATATACCCACATGACGATCAGCTCTTCCATGAAACCACTCTTCCGTCACATGCATCTCCTCAGGCCTCATCCCAAGACCCACGAGGTTGTCTTCCTGTAAATCATAGGTTCGCGGAAATGAGTTTTTGTCAAATCTTCCTAAAAAATCTCTAACCTGATCTTTGTCATCATCACCCATCAAACTCTGCGTATCCTCCCCGTTCAGCATTGCTTCGGTGATCTGAAAGAGATCGGAATTGACCCCCGAATTCCGCTACGAACCTCAGTGCACTGCTCCAACTTGTAGCACAGTTTGTCGCTGAACAATACGAAGACGTGGGAGGACCATTGCTGAAAATCAGGTTATACGGAGATGCCTCAAACTACATAAAGGTACCGTATTACATCAGAAAACCCATCATTTCAAAGCTTCAATACACGCTTACTGTACTTACATGTGTCGTTTTGTCCTGCAGCATCAGGATTCCCTTCTTGATGCTGTTTTCCGAGGAGATGAAGTCGGTGTCTTGGACTAAAAATATGCCTAGATTAACGAAGAGAAACCGCGACAACGAACTACAAATTGCAATCACGTCTACCAACTACAGGCTCCAACTTTAGACCCACATTCATCGCTCTTCGCCACGTCCTCGCTCTCCACGGCCAGCTTCTTGTGCTTGAGGATGATTTTTCGTTTCAGGGCTGCCGGGGATGGCAGCTCGGTCTCGTCACGATCGACGGGCATCGTCAGCAGAACATCTCCGAGGATTTCTTTGACCTAAAAACTTTGATTTATTGATCGAACCCCTAAAATAGTGGATCGCGTAGCGTCTCGTACCTCTTGGGCTAATAACCGCTGCGCGGGCACCGAGCAGTTGTCTTCAATCGAGAGGATTACTGGATATCTAAACTTACTTAATTCTTACAGTTTTTATTTTCCTATTTTATCTGATGAATTTCTCTCTTTTTTAACTTTAAAAAATCTAAACACTTTGCATTGGTTTTCCTATTTTCGTTTGGTTTTAAAACAATTTTTTATGGCGTCATTTTTTTTCGAACCCACTCGCTGTTAATAAAGGCGTAATGGCGAATCGTCTGGAGCACATCTTTTAGCAGCAATTTACTCGTCATCGTATACCTGAAAGGGGTAAGTAACTCGATAATTTCATCCAAGAACCCACCCGTGATAAATGACAATGTCGAGGAATTCGGTCGAGCCGGGCTTCTTCGTCCCGTCCCAGCAATCCACTGAAAGTTATCTGGTTTAAGAGAGAGAGAGAGGGAGAGGGAGAAAGAGGGAGAGGGAAAGAGAGAGAAAGAGAGAGAGCTAGAGCGAGAGAGAGAGGGGAGAGAGAGAGAGAGTTTTCTCTACTAGAGCGAACTGCTCTCTTTAACCGCTAAACCTCTCACATTCTATACAACGACAACCCATAAGAAGCGATCGGGAGTAGGAGTCCAGTGACGATTCACTACGCAACTGGTCGCCCGTCAAGTAACTAAAACCAAAATTTAATGTGGTAATCACTGTTCCTATACGTATTATGCGACGAAGCGATCCAGTAGTGGGAGAGTGGGCGATTCATGTCGTGGACCACCTTGTCGTTCATCGGATCCCAGATGGCGTTTTCTTTCGAGAAGAGGAAGTCGCAGAACTGGAAATGGAGGAAGTTACGGTGTTGGATAGGGCTGGCTCAGGCTTTCTACCGTAAAATTTCTTACCTCCATCACCGTCAAGGAGGGGGTGTGGGCCATGGAAATCGACTTGGTCCCCAGCGCATCCGTGTCGTGCAGATATTCGCGGATGAAGCCGCTGGCACGCTCCCTTAAAAATGTGTTTTTCGGTAGATTTGGACTTAAGCTCAGCTCAGCTCGGCTTAGCTTATCCATCGAAAATCCAAGCTCAAGCTCAATCTGAAACGTACCGATTATTCGCCATCTCGTCATTCTGATAATCCCTTAAAAAGGTCAAGAAATTGGCGAACGACACGCTGGCGCCCTCATCGGTGAGCTTTCCAAAGAATTGAGTAAACAGCTAAAACCAAACAAATATTTTATGCAAGTTTACACTTACGGCAGGGCAATGTACAAGCATTCGGGTGGCACGCGAGAAGACCTCGAACGTCATTTGTTCCTGCAAAAAATAGGGTTAAACGTTTGAATAACTTCCGCTTTGAGGAACTTGTTTTTGCAAAAAAAATAAAATAACAACCAAAAAATCTTACATCAGTAATGTCCTGCAACGACCTCGACGAAACTTTGTACTGTAGATAGGTCTGGATGAAGGGCTTCATGTGCTTCAGCGCCACTCTAAAATATTGAATCAGTGTTTCGATACAGCACAATTTTCGTGAAGAAGGATTCTCTTGCGCAATCCGATTCTCGGTAAGCAGGGATGAGGTACGCGGAAACAAAAGCTAAACCCTCACTTTTCTTGGCCTCCGGTCAGCAAGTTGTTGAACTGTTTCCGCAACCAGCGCTCGATGACAAGAGGGTGGTTGGCCTGCTGGGTGTCCATGATGAGGGTGTGGACACCCTGATTCCAGAGACGGCATGCTTCGGCGGTTTCGACTGAAATAACTGGTTTAAAGGGGCGGGAAGCCGCTGATTTTCTCTCCTAAAAGTCCTTTAAAGGGATAGGAACGCCTAAAAATAGACTTTCTTTGATTGGATGTCGAGAATTGCGCACCACTACCAAGTACGCCTAAATCCGTCATTTGGAGCGGCGCGTAGATCGCCCATTCGGATGCACAAAAAAAATACTTTTTCGCTTTGTACACCCCAGTTTCCCCCAACTCACACAACAAAATCCAGTAGCTCAAGTTGAAGCCGTTGCCGTGCTGGATGACGAGAATTTTGGAAGCATCGAAATTTCGAATCTCCTTGTCCCTAATCCACTTGTCGCCAACTTTGATGTTGCTCAACTGAAAATATCCAAATTTTCTTGGAGAAATCTTTGGAAAGCCAGAATTTTGATAAAATGTAGCAATTAAAAAAGCTCTCGTTTAAGCAGACGGGAACAAGAAAAACAGCGAGTTTAAGAAGTAGTCAACTTTTTGAAAAAATTCAAATGCCCGCCGCTCTGTGTCGGAGAAGTTATTGCGGGTTGGGGGGAATTCCTGGAAACATTCGAGCATCAAAATTTTTTTCTCTTTCTATCTCTCTCTCTCCTCTCTTTCTCTCTCTCTCTCTCTCTCTCTCTCTCCCTATCTTTCTATCTCTTTCTCTCGCTTTTATTGCTTTCATCCGAGTTTGTTTTTAATTTTTTTCGAATTCTGCCAATTACAGCTCCGAAAAATCAGCGGTGAAGCCGTCGACTTCACTAAGCCTAAGCCGCCACAGCTTCTGATTCATAATACTCATTCAGAACCGGCAAACCACAGCCCAAACAGTAGATAAGCAACCAATGAATGGAAAGGCTAATCCCTTCCCACACAAAAAAATGGAAGAAACTTGCCTTGAAATCGAGGCTCTGGACCTCTTTGACCGTTCGTAGGTCCAAAACGGAGGGCTTATTCCGCAGCGCCACTAAATTACGATGTTTTTAAGCAGGATAAAAGCGAAAAATGCGCCAAATTTGCGGATGCCGCAAATGTTAAAAACTCACTACTCTCCAGCTTGATCAGTATCAACTGCCGGGTGTCCCGGTTCAGCTGCAGCTTTTTGTAGGCCGGGTCCCAGCGCTTCAGCAGGTTTAGCTTGCATACCTTAAGATGAAAAATAAGGTGCGCGTACCCAGCGATACAAATGACACTCGAAATTCCAAATGGTATTGGCTGAAATTATAATTTGTGCTCTCTACCTGGAAAAGCACCCTAGCATCTGGTAGGTCCTAAGATGCATTAGAATAACTGAAAAAAATTAGTGCTGGGATCGAAAACCAAAAAGTTTGAGCTCGAAAGTAGGAAAAAAGATTGAAAAAATTCGCTTCTAGCTCGCACGCTCCTTTTAAAGGCGTTAGGAAGCGGATGAATCGACTCGTATCGTCGACTAGGTCAAACGAAAGGTCCCTAAGAAGTGTCGGTTGGGATCACACGTAGTTGGCGATACCCGGTAAATATAAGGGGTCGATTTCCAAGCTCCCTTAGAGTCGAACATTTACACCCACCTTGTGCCCCATGCCCATGGCATGGTACGTCTTCTCAATGTCGAGCTCGGTCTGGCGGGCATAGGTCGACCGGGAAGCCCGGGAGTTTCCGGAAGTGCTCGAGCGGACGGATTGACTGCCATAGCCGGAGGAGCCGCCCATGGAGCTCAGCTAAAAAGTGATGTTTTCTATAATCAAAATACCGAGATGTTTTGAAACTAGTCGATTTTTTCGGCCATCCTACCGTTTTTTGCGAACCCCTTGAGGATCGCTTCTTGTCTTCGCTCATTTTCAGCAGTGGCTAAAGGCCGGCCATAGCTCGAAATTTGCAGCGCAAAAAATTAGTAATATATCCGAAATATTGTAATCGAAGCGCGGGTCGATATGCCGTAAGGGGTTTGTGTGTTGCTGCGAGGAATGATAACAGTTCTACTCCAAGGGATTAGGTTCGAGGGACAGGGGAGAAGGCTCGAAAAGCTGCCAGCCAGCGCCCAGTTTTGGCAGCAAGTTGAGGAAACGATTCGGGTTGGGGATTGCAATCGGGGAATATTTGCAAAAAATTAAAGGGGCTTTCCAGGCAGGAATATATGGATTTTTGGCCACGGATTCCTTATGGGTCTGGCCGCGTACATCAGCCTTTCGATTGCGTAATGGATTACGATTAGCTCGGGAAAAATGTGAAAATCTCAAAACCGAAAATCCCGACAACGTAAATCCCGACAACAAAAATCCCGACATCCAAAATCCAGATAGTCAGAATCCCGACACTCGAAATTGGAAATTGCTGCTTAAAAGGAAGTAAAATTCAAATTAACGTCACGAATCGTTGTCGGCATTAGCCTTGTTTACTTATACGAAATACAGGCATTTGGACAAATTTCAAACAGATTTTTTGGAAAAACTGAACGCACGTTACTCACCGTGGTTTTTCGCATCGCTTCCGGCGGCTAGTGGAATCCGGTGTCAAACTTAATTGAATCCTTCAAAATTCACGCTGGTTGTTGATACCGGAAAAGCGAGCAGCCGCGCCGTGTGGCCTGCCCATTCGCTGCCCTTCTAATGGGGTGGCGAGCAGCGGGCAGATTCTAATCGCTGCTGAAAAAAGGCATGAAACTGAGGAACGATCAGTAGGTAGTAGACGAGCATCGAAACGGACAACAAAATAAGAATTAGGCAAATTCAACTAGGGTAGAAACTACAAGAAAAACTCTCTTTCTCTTTCTCTCTCTCTCTCTCTCTCTCTCTCTCTCTCTCTCTCTCTCTCTCTCTCTCTCTCTCTCTCTTTCTCTCTCGCTTTCAAAAAGCTTATATAAATCCATAAATCAAATCCAATCGATGCGCCCGGCGATCCCGAACACTTCAAAAATTACACCCGTTCTCCCCGAGCGTTTTTGCCCATTTTCTTCTGGCGGAGACAAAACATTTTTGGGGCGGCAATTTTCGCTCGAAGCCAGCTAGCGGGGCGGCCAGGTTACGAAATCCGTAGTTGGAGATATCAAAAAGCCAAAAAGTAAAAAAATTGTAGCGTAAATTAGCGCTTTTTAAGGCGCCAGGAAATCACCAATCAACATAGGAATAATCTTGGAAATCGTGATTTTTGATTAGATCGGAACTTTGACGTCGGCCGGAAGTGAAAAATGCTTTGAAAGGTCAGAAAATTCACCTATTAAATGCCCAAAAGTCAGTTAGCAATTTCGTTAAAACAAGTCCAAATAATTCTAACAATCCTAGGAATTTCGAGATATTTTGAGCTGATCAGTTGCAAAACTCTGACGCGTCTTGCGCCTGAAAATGGCAAGCTGGTCGAGCCGTGAAGAAAGAGAGAAATTAGGCTTTTGGCTTTTCCCCCTTATCGGTTGCCCCCTCAATGTGTGTCGCATATTCCAGTCTTCTTCGGGGGGAATATTATCCAAAGGCAAATGGCCGTGATTTCTCCCGCCTGGACCCCCCGTGATCAGCCGAATGGAAATCGGGATGGGAGCCGCTGTTTCCGGTGGATTCCTGGCAATACCAGATTTTTTTATTAAGCTAGCGAAAAATGGAGAAAGTAAAATTCGTTTTTCGGCGTTCGGACGTTGAAAAACATAAATATTTAAATCTTCTTTAGAATTTCGTGCAAAGCACAGAGAGACAGGAGAGCAGGAGGGAGCGAGAGAGAGAGAGCGAGAGAGAGAGCGAGAGAGAGAGAGAGAGAGAGAGAGAGAGAGAGAGCGAGAGAGAGGGGGAGAGAGAACAACGAAAACAAACTTTTCTAATCGAAAGTAACCTGGCAAACGTCATTAAGATTTGGAAAATTCGGCAAATTCGAAAGTTTATTTTGGCCTGCAACACCTGAGTCTTCCAACAATTTATTATCCACTCTTCGAAACCAAGCTATCCGAATCTCCCGGAATTTCATAATTCTGATGCGAATTAGAGTCGTGAAGACCGCCTGAAGCGCGCTGATGCAACCTCCTCTTCGCTGATAAAATTAATCCAGAGGTTGATGGGGGGAGTTAGCTTCGGCTCGAAGACTAAAATCATCAAAAACATTGAACCGGATTTCCGCTATGCCTTATTCATCCTCGGGCGCGTGATAATTAAAAAAACAAGGAGTTGACCCAGGGAAGCTTCAGAAACTGAGACCGCTTCGATACAATTTATGGTTTGAGAAATCTGTCAAGACAAAAAAATTTGCAAAAGAAGAAGCCTCAAAATATCGTATTTCCGCTTCGATGCAATTTACGCCTTGTAGGGTTCGTTGGTTTTTAAAGGAAAAGACAAGGAAAAACTTCAAAAATCTCGGATTTCCGCTTTACTAAAATTCTTGCGAATTAGAACAAGCAAGGGAATTAGAAAAGGGATCATTTAAATTCCAGATTGATGTTTCAACTAAAAAAAAATTAAAAAAGGTGACAAGAAGAAGCTCCAAAAATCTGAAGGTCAGCCGGGCAGGGTGGCTTTTGACTTTTGTGGGGTGACTCAACGCGAGGAGGACCGGCCCCGGGTTTTTCTCTCGAAACGGGGACCCTTTTGTGCATGTTGTTGGTGGGAGGGAGAGACTGTTCGGTCGAGACACGCCAGATTGGCGAGAGAGAGAGAGAGAGAGAGAGAGAGAGAGAGAACGGGAAAGCGAGAGTGCAGGCCTGTTTCTATTGATTCTAGCGGGGCGGGCGAGACTGCCCCGCACTGCCCGCTAGCGAACTCGACCCCGCTTTGCATAATGGGATCAGCGCAACGACAATAATGTGTTTGGAAGTGTCATGGTTTTTTTTGCAAAATACGTCAGTTGCTAGATAAAATTTTTTTGATGCAAATTTGGAAGTTTTGTATTTTGTATGTTTAGAAAATATGATTTTTAAGGCTTTTAGAACCTTAAAAATCATAAGGTCCCTGAAAACCTTCAAACTTGGACTAAAATGTGAACTTACCAAAAAAAATTACAAAATTTTAAAATTTTAAAGCTTTTAAAAATATTTTTTTGTAGTTTTGTGTTAATCGAAATCGACGAAAACCGCTATAAAAAAACATTATTATCGAACAGGCATAGCTATCGGTGGTAAAATAAAAATTCTAAGAATCACAGGAGTAAAAACGCCAATGAAAAACCTCCCAAAAAGTATCGATATGACCAAAGAAATTCCACCCGCCAAAAACTCGCAATTTCCCGGTGGGGCCACCCGATGCGCCGGGGGTTCATTATTTGGAATGAAGTGTGTGTTTGGGAGGGTGAGAGCGAGGGGGCCCAAAATCGGGAGGTCCTGCTCTTTTCCACCACGACCACCCAATCTCCATTCCGTTACGTTCCTCTGCACTCTTTTTCCCCCTCGAAAAACCCCCAGAGGGCGGAGGCCAGCCGATTCCATTGGGCTCCGAGCTACGGGCACCCACACACACACAGAAACCTAATGACAAACAGACAGATGAGATCAGTGTGGCCTCGGGGGAACGAGGAAGAGACTGTGACTCAGCGGTTCGGACGGGCTAAAAATAGAAAAGCTAGCTGCACAAAAATTAAAACGCGACCGGGAATGGCAGTGGCAATCCAAAAATGACAACTTCAAAAGACATCAAAGCGTAAAAGTAAGAAAATCAATCAAGTTTATTAATACAATCGAAACAAAAAAAATCAAGGCACAAATCGGTGGCAACGATGACTTGTAGACGTTCAGCGGGCCTGCTCGGCGCTGAGGGCCTGTGCTCGGGCCTTCCGCTTCTGCTCGAGCTCGCGGCTCATCTGCGCCTTGGGGCGGTACACCGGTTTCATCACCTGGAACAAGCATTAAAGCATGCTCAGACCTCCACCTCAAAAGAGCAGATCAACAGCTCGTCGACGCACATCACGGCGGCGTTGTTGTTGAACTGCTTGCAGTAGTTGGGGGCCGAGAAGATGGTCACCTAGACGCCGTGATTGAGCAAATTTTAGAAAAATGCCTACCATTCTGCGGTTGGCGCAAAACTCGTAGCCGTCCTGTACGACTTGGTGGGCCCGGACGACGAGGTCAATGTCCAGCCGCTGGCAGGTGGCCTTGACGACATCGGGGCCAAAGACGTAGGACAGGCCACGGTTGCTGGGTAGGAAGCCCTGAAGATGATTCTGGTGAACAGTTTTTTGAGCGCTACGATTTTTCGCACCCATCGGCTAGTTCGAGCAGTACGACAAAACCAAGCAGCTAGATTCGTACGACTGGTTCGAGCAGTTCGACCCGCGCTACTAGACCGAGTCTTCTGACTCCGCCGACTTGTTCTAGAAGTCCGCCTCACTCGACAACTTCGGCATGTTCAATTATCACCCAGTCTCTCATCTTCATCTACCAACCGTAATGTAATTGTCCGGATCGGCCCACAACAGGTCGACGTGTAGCGACGGGTTGGGCGGGTCGATGGGCCGAAACAGCTGGCGGAGCTGATCAAGGGTCTTCAAGCGTGGCGACAGTCCCCCGTGCATACACAGAATCCGGCCGCCGACCAGCCCGCACAGCGGCATCGCGTTGAACACGTCCTGGAACCGTTCAGTTCAGCTACCTGCTTGAATATTCGTACCTGAAAGTACTGCCAGAGACGGAGGCTCTGGTAGCGCCTGTTACACTCGTCGTAGAAGCCGTAGACGCGGTTGATGGCCGCGCACTCGTGGTTGCCGCGTATCAGCAGGAAGTTCTCGGGGTATTTGATCTAAAGGGGGACTGGTAGTTTGTATTTTGTAGCCTGCAGAGGTGATTTTTGTAGTTTATGGTCTGACCGGGCTCAATTTGGATATGACCTAGTTGTAGTTTATATTTATCGGCGACAGGGCATAGTTTGTAGCCTGTAACTTGAGAAGGTATCGTTTGTAGTCTAGAGCCGTCAGGAGTGTAGTCTGTAGTTGGTAGTTCGGAGTCGACTCCGTAGTCTGTAGTTTATACTGTCGGTTATAGTGAGTATTACACCGCCGTTAGTTTTTGTAGTGTAGCGTGCAGGCATCTGTAGTTTATAGCCTGTAGGTTGTAGCCCACACCTTGTAGCAGAAGAAGAGGCATATCGTCTCGAGGCTCTGCTCCCCGCGGTCCACGTAGTCGCCGAGGAACATGTAGTTGACCGACGGGGGGAAGCCGGTGCGGTCGAAGATGCGGAGCACGTCTGGGAGTGGATGATCAATGACGATAGAGCAAGACCAACCCGAGAACTGCCCATGGACATCACCGCAGATTTTAATGGGAGGCATGGCCTCGAGCATCGACCCCTGAGACATGAAGACTTCTCTGGAATCGCAGGGTTGTTTCTGCACTAATAGGCGTATACAAGGCTAAACTCCAGATACCCCCCCAGCCGAACCCCACCTACCGTATCTCCGCTCCCTGTTCATCTACAGGTGTGTAAAGTATACCAAAATGTTTGTCTTTCTCTGGTGAGCATCTTGATATACTTTACACACCTGTAGATGAACAGGGAGCCGAGATACAAAAGTTGGGTGCCGGCTGGGTTATCTGGAGTTTTACCATAGCTCAGTTAATAAGCTCCAGTACTTGGCCTTGGCGCACAGCTGCACGATCTCGCCCTCCTTGATGGTGCGCGTGATACCGTAGCCGGTCTGCCCGCTGCCGAGGATCCGACACAGCATGCTGTCCACGTCCAACTCTGCGCTCATTGTAGCAAAAACACTGGAAATCGAAGGGTTTTCTGAATCGTCAAGAAGTAACCCACCGTAATAGAGAAGAATAGACTAGTAAAATCAAGGAGAGTAGGCATAGATTTTCTTCTATAGTCAAGTTTGCAGTAAAATTTATGCAAATTGACCTTTGGTAATTTTATCTGCAAATTTTACAAACCTTATTGCGTTTTGTGCCTATTTTTAGCGATCTTAAAAGTCTAAAAAGACCTAAAAATCACTCCCGATAATCCACAAGATAGTCGAAAAATTTAAGCCCCGCCACTTTCTGCTGTCGCCATCCCTTTAAAACGACACAAAAAATTATTGCTAATTTGCATGACTGCGAAAAAAACCGAAAATGCTTCATTTCTTCGATCGCTAGCGGTAGAAGTGGTTGATGGGACGCGGTACGGTATTTCTTCGTGTTGACGAGCTACCGTAGCCAGAGCGGCTACCATAACCGCTTCCAGATAGCCGTGAACGATGCAGCCGATGCGGGCAAGACGCCGCCGTCGAGAGCCACTTCACCACCATCGGCATTTTGCTGTGCTTGGCCACGTTTTGGCTTTGCTGTAAGGCTATAGCCGGTTTTAAAGGGATGCTGCCACCAAGGAATTGTTCTGAAAGAGTGGTTTTGGGCCAGCTAGCAGCGTTTCTTTAGGAATTCTAGTCCATTTTTAGGCGTCGGCCTGGTCTGCCTGTTCCAATCGAGGACCGACCACTGCGTCTACTGCCACAACGACTGGTCGGCCGCCAGGGCCGCTAATGGAGGACGCACCAAAAAGGTAGAGAGTTGGGCTTTGCTTTTTAAAGGGATGGTGCCAGCTGATAAAAGTCACCCTCCGATGCAAAAAAAACTAAACTTCAGCTGCACATCTTCGACCCGATGCCCGCCGAACTGCCGGGTGAACTTACCGCCGACCCCGACGCCAAGCCGCCCAAGCCCAAGACGAATTAAGCCTCTAAAATCAATATCATTAATTTTTATTCGATACCTTTTCGTGTACCTTTCAATTAAAGCGAAATGTTTTGAAGCGGATTGTCGATAAATCACTTGAAGTTTCTTATTTATGGATTTCATATGGTTTTTGTGTAAAAGCATGGCAATTTTCTGTTTCTGCATCGTTCTGGGCTCAATTTTTGATGGCTGAAACCTGTCAAAATCGCGGGTTTTTCGAAATTGACTCACTGACCCGTCTCTCCGCGTATTCTTGCAGTGACAAAAGTTTACGGCCCGCCGCCCAGATAATGGCCGTCCGGATGGGGGGCGCCGTTCTCACCTCCTTCCCCACGCAATTATTATTTTCCCCCGGCGGCTTGTTTGTTGTTTTTTGACGAAACCCTCCGTAATTCCTAAATTTATCGTCTTTCGTTTTTTTGGGTTATGAAAAGTGTTTTGGCCTAATTGCTTATTTAATTATTTACCCTTTTTATCCTCATCTTTTTATTACCGGCTTTTTCTGATTTGTCATTTTTTCTTAATACGTATAGTTCTATTTTTTTAAATATTTCTAAAATTTGTTGATACATCAATTACAGTTGGCCTCATCAAAATTCTAATTCGGCGCATGATGAATCAAATTTGGGAATTTCCACTTTCAAAACGTGGCGTAAATGATACAAATGGACTTGATATCAGAAGCCCTCAAATTCAATGTTGTTAAATTTGTTAATTTTTTGTTTTACGAAAGTTTAAAAGGCAGTTTTTAAAAATACATTTTCGGCCAAAAAGTCGAAATATTACAAAAATGTGTCTGATTTTTTGTTATGGGCATTTTACACCTAAAAACCGCGAAAAGTGCTATAAAAGAGTTTATATTTTGTTAAGGGACCGTACAAGGTTACTGGGAAAAATTAGTCCCCCTGCTAACGTCCCAGTACCGGAAGCCTCATGACTGATTCTGACAAAATTATATAAGAGCCTCGAATCTGTGTTTTCCCAGCCTTCCCCAATCCTAAATTTCAAAAAGTCTAGAACGTTGCTCGACCCACCGTTGTTCCCATCGGAACCGTGTCGCGGCATCCCCAAAAGGGTAGGCCCTCCGATCGGTGGCCGCACAAAAAACGCGAGGCGCGCAATCGGCGCAATGGGTGTCCGTGTGTTTTTGTGTGATGTGTGGGTTTTTCTGCTGGGATGGGACGTCGAAAAGTGCATCTTTCTTCTTGGGAGGCCCTCAGGTGTGGGGCTTCGAAAGATTCGGCTCACCCAGGAGCACCTCCTCCTCCTCGCTCCATTGTTTACCAAAAAAAACGACAACTAACAAATAATTCTGGGGTTGTCCTGGGGTGGCCTCAGACTGGGTTAGACGTTTGTTGGTTAGCATCGTTGTTCTTATTTTTTTGAGGGATGCTGTAAGAAAAATGGCTTATGCATTATCAGGGGGGTTATGAGGGAGAAGCAACTTTTTCCTTATGATTTCATTTTTTTGATATCAATAGCGGAACTGCTTCCGAATATTTTCACCATTCCTAAACGTTCTTTACAAATTGTTATTAAACAATGCCAAGAAAAAGTCTATTTTCCACGAAAAATGGCCGTTTTTCGATCAGAATTTGAATTGGCTTTTTTCAATTTTATACTTTTCCACTGGAAAAATAGCAAAATTTTACCGAAAACAGTATTAAAACACTTACCATTACATTATTCAGCATTTCCAAGCCTCGAAAGAAATTTGCCACCTCTCCCCCCATACTGCGAAAGAAGCAACTTAGTAACCAACCCACAACCCAAGCAACCAAAATTAATTTTTTGCACTGATTGGCTTATTAATAGTCCTTAATCAAACGCCAAAAAAATGTTGAATTCCCCATGCCGCTTTCAAGCATTTCCGGCAGGCATGTTAGTCTGGCAAAGCGCGCGTGTAACATGCCCGAGTGATTCACAATTCGCACAAACAATCGAAAAGCATATGGGCGCGTGGTGAATCGCATGATATTATGATTCCAGCAATTTTGGGGGAGGCATTTTTCAATATGGATGGTGTGTTTAAAATTCAAGGGTTTTTGCAGCTACCTTGCTTTTAAAAAGTTTGAAAAGTGCTATTACGTTTGCCGATTCTTATTTATTTGGCTCTCGCGTAGGCCTAGGCTTTTTTTGGCCGGGGCTTTGGCTTATGCTTAGGATTAGTCTTAGGTTTAGGCTTGGCTTGGGATTAGTCTCTTTAGGCTTAGGCTTAGGCTTAGGCTTAGGCTTAGGCTTAGGCTTAGGCTTAGGCTTAGGCTTAGGCTTAGGCTTAGGCTTGGCTTGGGATTAGTCTGTTTAGGCTTAAGCTTAAGCTTAGGATTAAGCTTGGGCTTAGGCTTAGGAATAAGCTTGGGCTTAGGTTTAGGCTTGGCTTGGGATTAGTCTGTTTAGGCTTAAGCTTAGGCTTAGGAATAAGCTTGTGCTTAGGCCTAGGCTTACTGGAGCTTAGACTGAGGCTTAGCTAACAACTGATAACTCCCGCATTTCCTAGGAGCAACATCCCTCCCCCTCCATTATTCCGGACCCACCGCCGAACAAACGGGTGGAGCCGCGGCTGTGCCTATCCGAAATTCGCGAACTAGTTCTTCTTGTGGCGAAGGAGGGGAAGGGCTGTATCTTCCCCATGAGAAACATTTATGTGAAGCTACGTTTTCTTGATTTTTTCATATTTTTTAATATCGCCGCATTTACGCCAAAATTTTTCCAGCTTCTGACTTGTTGTCCGTAAATTAACTTCACTTTAAAACTTCAGATTAAAGATTCGTCTGCTTATTGAACTCAGACGGTTCTGGATCTGTTTGGATCATTCTCGAAATTTTTATCAAAAAACACGTTCAAATCGCAATTTATCTAGTTGAGCTTGATTTTCAATACAGTAAATTCCGTACAGCATTTTTCTATCCAGATAAAATTCCGTTTAGAATTTCGAATCCGTAATGTTACATTCAGAACCTCGCGAATCCAAAATTGAAATTTCGGGTGTCCTCGACATTTTCCTCGACCGACACTTCAAAGGCACCGCCAGGAAAACTATACGACGATCCATCCTCAGACTCTCCCACAGCATTATTATCAACTCATTTCCGGTGCGAGCTTTTCGAATATCAGCGGACTGTCAATAGGACAGTTTCGGAGGGGTAGAAGAGAAAGAGAGGGCCGAAACGCCGGCATTTCCCATGCCCCCATGGCCCCGCCCACCTTGGTATTTCGAGGGCCAGAACAAACCCCGGAGGGGCCACATTTATTCCACTTTCCGCCGAATCTCGTCCTCAATTGGGGAGTAGACTTTTTAGCAGAAATTATCTTTAGAATCACTTATTAGAGTACGAACTCTGAGCTTCATATTTTTTATCCTGCCGAGATTTCGACTTAAAAGATGAATTGGCGCATCGCGTAGTCATTTGAACGTAGCGCTCGTGCGTGTGGGAATTTTCGAAAACCGCTTTCGCTGACGTTCGCTCGCTCTCTCTACCAATCTCTCACTCTATCTCTCTCTCTCTCTCTCTCTCGCTCCTCTCTCTCTCTCTCTTTCACCTGCTCTCTCTCCCACATTACTTTCCTTATCCTGTTTCTAACTTGTTGGACCGTATTTCCTAAAAACCTATCTATCAGACCTCCCTCTCATTCCATACTTTACAACTTCAAAAAACCGGTAACTGGGCCATTGCCTGGGGTACTCCCCTTGATAACAGATGGTTCAGACCGGTAGGTCGGCTTCTGTTTACGGGAAATTCCTTTGTTCCTAGCAAATTCCATACTACCGTATCCCTAAGATTGCACCCTTTTGAAACATCTTTAAAATTGCTTTGATTTTCCGTATTATCTTTTGTTTTAGCAATTTTTTTGGATGGATGCTGGCGTAGAAAAACTGTATCGTAGATGTCCTTTATTTGCTGCTACCGTAGTAAAATTGTCGTTAACGGCTACGGAAAAGGGCTTAGCTTTAAAGGTGCCGGCAAGGTATTGCTACGGACGAAGTATTTTGTTAATAGCAAACGCTTGAGCCCGCTCTTCGATTACGTAATGGATTACGCGGTCCTGAAAAATGTGAAAAATCACCAGCTAGCGTCCCTTTAAAAAGCCTGTAAAATTTCAGGCTTAGGTTTAGGCTTAGACGTAGACTTAGTCACCTTTAGAGTGAGGCTTAGGAATAGGTCAGGCTTGGGTTAGGCTTAGGCTTAGGCTTAGGCTTAGGCTTAGGCTTAGGCTTAGGCTTAGGGCTTAGGCTTAGGCTTAGGCTTAGGCTTTGGGCTTAGGCTTAGGCTTAGGCTTAGGCTTAGGCTTAGGCTTAGGCTTAGTCTTAAGTTTTGGCTTCCCATATGCAGCTTCAAACATTTTTTTACACCCGGACACGTAGCCGGATGATGTGCGATGGGGCTCCCATGCTCATCGTGTGTGGGCCCGGCCATCCTATCACTCGGTCAACAAATCCCCCTCCTTGCTGGTCTTGCTTTTCTTTTTATGCTCTTCCCCCCTTGACTATGAGAAAGAACATGAAGACCCTCCCTTCCTACACTCCCTCTTTTCAAAGAGAATCGGGATAGCGGGGGGACACGCGTATTTTTGTGTGCACCTAGCATGATGGGGGAGCAGATGAGGCTTGAGACTAGCGGCGGGTTGGGACTAGCAGGAATGCGTTTTCTGTTGCTAATCATTGCAATTATTCGCTTAAATGGGTGAGAAAGTGCCAAAGGGCCACTTATTTCGCCTAGGTCTCGACAGCTACGCGATAGCTCAAAATACGCTTGCCATTTGGATTTGAACTTTTGCTTTGAAAACCTTCATCTGGTATGGCTCTTTTCGAATTTGTCGTCACCCAGTCAAGATTTAGAGGCCGATTTTGTTGCTTTCAAGCCTCTTTAAAAGGATGGTGCCACCATGGAAAGGGCCATTTTTCAACGGGCCACCGTATTTTTATTATTTTCTTTGCTGTCACGCTTCCTTAAAAGGGCCGATAAAGCTTCAATGGCAATTTTTCTGGCTATCCTACTATATATAAAAAAATAGTGTTTGTGTGCGTGTGTGTGTATATTTGCATGCACTTCCGTTTGGATGTTCCGCACCTACAGCCTCAGGCAAGCATTTTTTCGGGAGGGAAGAAACGTTATAGGGTAAAGAAGGGGCTGGAATCGACTGCACACACATAAAATCTTTGAAAAATTGCTATTTTCGCTATTAAATTTAAGTTTTTGTAAAAATCTTGGCTTCCCTCTTTGTTAGGGAAAAATTAGCATACGCCGGAAGTGGAAATGGTTTATAAAAAGGAAGAGAGGGCGCGCTTTTCATTTTTTGGTGAGCGGTTTTCGGCAAGGATTATGCAAAGTCAATAACTTCATCGATCCTAGACGGGGTCAGGGTTGAAAAGCCGCGAAGCGGTTTTTCAACCCTGGTGGATTCCATAAAACATTTTTTGGAGCGTCCGCGGCACGGCACACACGCCTCCAATTGTCGGCATTGTAATCGATTACGCAATCGAAAAGCGTCAAGTGCAAAAAATCCATAGGAATGCATCGGAAAAATCACCTTTATACCTTGTCGGTCCCTTAAACTCTCGTTTGGTTTTTTCATGTATTTGTATTTTCTATTTTTGGTTCGCCGTTTTTAAAACATCACACATATATCGAATTATCTTCTTTCTAGAATGCGGTCAAGTAGACCCTCACTCCCAATTCTGCTGTTCTTGGGCACATTTTTCAACTCGGCTGCCCCAAACTCCATCTCAAACCTCGTCGAAAGTGTCGACCCCATCGATGAGGGCATGGACAACTATGTCATCACCGAATTTACCCCGAAGGTCCGGTTTTTCGCGATTTTTTCGTCAGTCTGAAACTTAAAATTCTTACGCCCCGAAATTCTGAATCATCTGAATTGCTGAATTTCACAACAAAACCCGGACCGGCACGCCGCAGCCAAAAAAAGCTATCATGACGGCGCGTCCGGGTCATGGCGGCTTGGATTGATTAGAATTTCGGGCGGAGAGAAAGAGGGAGGGAGAGCGAGAGAGAGAGAGAGAGAGAGAGAGAGAGAGAGAAAATTGGGGACCTATCTGTTTTTTTCAGGCTTTCATCAAGTCCAACTCGTACATGCTCAACTACACTTCGTGTTTCCAGTTTCGCTACGAGTTGCCAATCAAGAGAGCCACGTTAGTTTAATTCATGAAATCTAAAGGGATGGTGACACAAAGTTTTTGAGCTTTTATCGTAAAATGCGTACAGTTAATGGGTTTTCTGCCGTTCTCGGTCCCTTTGAAAGTGCGCTCTCTTAGCGGCGCGGAAGCGATTGAAAGTCTGTTGACGCGTCACGTAAGCGCTAGTGTTTTTTGATAAATCCCTTCTACCTTTGAGCGCGCCTGCGTCGCGTACGCGTTGCGGGTTCCGAAAAATGGTCCGGGGTTATTAAGGTGTATTTTTTCTGTATTTTTTTGCATTTCCACTTTTGTCACGCCGCCTAGTCTTCAGTGCAATATGAACTTGCCACCTCTAAAGTCCAGAATCTACTTTTCACAACCTTGCCAGTACCTTTAAAAACCGATCAACCCAATCCTAGCCCCCAATTTCGTCGCCGTAAGGCCAATCCGAACATAACCCGAGTTCTCCCTTGAATGCCGACAAGAAGGGGGGTAAAGCGCCTTATTGAGAGGCGGGGGTGTGGATAGGTGTGTCGTGGAGAGGAGGGAAGTAAACAGATAAACATACCGCGTCAAGCCCTCGCGGCTTGATTCACTCACCCTCCCCTCATAAGTCGACCCGAAAGGGAGGGTCAACTTTACCCCCAAAATGGCCCCCGCGGTCATATTATTTGGGGTGGCGGTGAGGGGCACGTTTTAGGGCACCTGCCAAAAACTGGGTGATATGGAGCGGGGGTGTTTTTTGTTAATTTATGGCCTTGGGGTGAGCCGAGGTAATTGGAAGAATTTTATTAGTATCAGAGCCAGGGAAAAATTACAATTAAATCCAGGAAAGCATGTCTTGACGTAAAAATTGATCCGCAAAAATACATAGCGTGTACGAATCCAATTTTTAGGTGTCCGTGCGGGCAAACAAATCTTTGCATTTTCAAAAAAATATAAATCGTGAAGGCGGTTCCGTACAGTTTTATTGTTAGAAAACGCTCAAACCTCAAATTGTACTAAAAAAATACCAAAAAAATTTCAATTTTGTGACCAAAATTAACTTCTTAAAAATTTTCAAGGGTTTAAATAGTTTGTCATTAAATCGAGTTCAATTTTATTAAGCTGTTCTATTCTACTTACTATGATCTACATTTCTCATACGAAAAATACCCCACCCGATATTGCAAAAGCACCGAGTTTCTTAGAATTGGATTTCATCAGATCCATAAAAAATCGTTTTTTTTCTGAATCACTTCCGCTGACCCGCTAATTTATTATGGCACCGCGCCAAAGTGCCCGACAATAATTAACAACGAACTCCCACAATTTCCGGCCCTTCAAAAATTCCTCAAATTCGATTTTAAGCCGCAGGGGTTTAGCAGACCGGGGGCATGGTCAGCTGGCTGTGGCCACTATTTGCGCATTGCTCGCATTTCTCCCCCGCTTTTTACCCTCCGCCCTCACTGATGAGCCCTGGGGGCACGAAGGCTTCTCCCTGTGATTCGCATTCCCGTACCAGAGTGAGAGAGAGAGGGAGAGAGAGAGAGAGAGAGAGAGAGAGAGAGAAAGAGAGAGACAGAAAACGACGAAAACGCAACAGACGGTCTCGCTTCGAAACCCTCATCCCTCCACCCTCACCGGAACAAACATATAGTTGGGCAATTTGGGAGAAGCTAAGAAAAGGGGCCTACTTGGGGTTGATGAGTCAGAAGATCGGTGTCAATGTTTCTTAAAGGAAAGGACAAGGCAAAATGGTTATGGATTCTCTCAAGCGCGATCCGCAACGCACAACCAAACTCGCTGAACAGTTAGTAATCAGTTACGCAAGGGAAAAGCACTCGACACAAGTATCCCAGGAATTAGCCAGAAATATGCAGAGTCATACCTTGCCCATCCCTTTAAAATGATCCAATAATCCCAAAAATTTCCTAAATATGACATTTCGAAACCGCTGAATCACACTGCCCCCTCAAAATATCATATCTCCAATTTTAATCTTTTCTCGAACGGGCGAATGAAATATCGGAATTTTTTCGTTTTGTCTGCCCTCGGCCTCGAATTATGTTGACGCCCGCCCGTTGACGGCATCTATTTCAGGAGGGGCGCTCTCAGATAAAACGCGAAAAAATCCTGTGGAAAGGGGAAAAGTCTAAAGGGACTGAGAAGCCAAAAATCTGTGACAATAGTGATCATAATTTTTCAGGCTTCAAGCCTACACGTGCCATTTGAGTCCGGGCGGTGGATGCACGTTGGACAGATTTACGCATAAGGACAAGGTACGGAAAATTTGAATTTTGCATTTATTTGACGACCTCACCTTTCAAAAATTACTTTTAAGGAGGGCTGCTACGCACTGCGGCCGTGGAAATACCACCCCGATGAATTTGGATTTTGGTTCCGCCTGGAACGTAGGGAGCGGAATTACGGAAAGCGGAACACGAATCGGCCGGCGAGAAAGGTGGGAAATGAAGCTTATTGGCAGAGGCAGAGGCTTGTTAGGCTTAACTTACCGATAGCTCGGGCTTAGCTTAGGCATAGTTTAGGCTTTGCTTACGCTTTTGCCTAGTTTTTACTTAGCTTCGACTACTTGGGCTTAGCGTTGGCTTCGCTTGAGCTTAAAGCTTAGCTTCGGCTTATCTTAGGCTTAGCATAGGCTTAGTTTGGGCTTAGCTTAGGTTTAGTTTGGGCTTAGCTTAGGCTTAGCTTAGGTTTAGGCGTAGGCTTATTTTAAGCTGGGCCTGGCCTAAGCGGTGATTTTTGGATTTTTGATACCTTACTTTGTTGTTTTTTGAAACAAACCCCATTGGGACCTGCAAAATCCCCCGTTGACAAAACTCCCGACCAAGAGAGCTTGTTTTTTGTCGGAACTCCATGTTGTCTAAATCCGGGCTGCGCATTTTAAGCAATGGGGCCGGGCGCAAAAACTCGCAGCTTCCGCCGTTCCTTGGGGAGCCGGAAAAAGCGCCCTGCTTGCCGGGGATCCCAAAATAACGAACCAACACAACAAAGGAGAAGCTGTTTAGGGGTCAAATTCAGGGTTTAGATTTCTTTTAGACTTTTCGGGGGTTATTTTGTAATCTTCTAGCCGGAAAATTCCAATATATTCCAATTTTTGAAACGTTAATTTCCTTCGAAACTTTGTATCTTTGCGTTCGTCAATTTTTTATGAAATAACTAATACATCAATCGATATATCTCGAAGAAGAGAATCTCTTCAAAAACTAGAACAGAAAAATAAGGACGTTTGACAAGTGATAACCCGATTATTCCAGACGAATCGCGCCCGCCGAGTGCGCGACTCTTCAGAAGTCCTCGGCCGTGTCATCTTGGAGGGAATTCGCCCCTGCTCGGAGACGTGCACCAAGGGTGTTTCCAGATATTCGATCACGCTAAATTAGGCAAATTCTCTAGAAAAAAACTGTCCAGTAAGTAACCAAAAGGAAAGCAAGAATTTCTCATCGGGTTCAAACCTTAACTTAAAAGTTTTAGCCTTGAATCGATGGCCAAATTTAATGCAGCTGCCTATTCTAGATCAAACTTTAATTTTTAGACGCTTTTATAATTGTAGTTTTTGAGAATAATGCATTGTAACATAAAATTTGCACTCCGCTCCACCCCGCCTCCATTTAGGGTCCACGATTTTGCCATTGCCGCCCCGATATGCCCCGTTTCAATACTCAGTTCAACTGGCCCCTTGCACTCTCACTCACTCACTCACTCACAAACCCCCGTCCATTCCACGATGCACCTTTTGCCGATCGCGCTTTTCCATAGACAATTTGTTTTGATGCGTTTTTTACAAAATTACGGACCCGTTTTTCCACGACTGCCGAGACACCCCATGACACTGCGAATTTTTCGACATTTTAAAGGTTGTACCGTAGTTTCTTCACTTTTTTCGTCGAGGTTTGAGCCCAGATTCAGCAGCGTATATTTTATAATGTCAAAAAAATTTAAATTACGCTGAACCTGGGTAAAAATCTTTCCTCCATAATTTTATTCGGCCGCTTCTGTGGTGCCCATAAAATCTACAAAATATTTTTAGGCGTTTTCCTGAATTAACTGCTGCTTTTTCGATGTGCTCTCCCGGTTGCCTTTCCCTCTAGCCCCCCTTAAAACTGGCCAACAAAGTGGCCGAATATAATGCTTTAAAGGGACTAGGACACACAAAAAGGTTACAGGCTCTGACGTCGTGGTCCCTTTAAGCGCTAGCCCAAGGCTTCACTATTTAGAATTCGTTTATGCATTTACCAGCGCTGACCCCCCGCTCCGCGGGGGTTCAGCGCTGGCCCTCCCGGGGGGAAAAAGTAATAATAAATAATAATAAATCAACATCCCATACACCGAAATCCCGAAATCCCGAAACGCCCCGGCTCCCGGTCCCGTCCGAACCGGTCCTGGGGGTCCCGCAGCGATCCGTACGGACGGACGGTCGGGCGCACGGACATTAGCAATTTATATATAAGTGATTAACGTGTGTCTGACGAATAAATTGATTTTTTTACTGTATCGCACTACAGACACGGCTACTTACACTACAAACTACAACTTAATGCTAAGAACAAGAAAACGCATTCCGTCGCTGGAGTTCAACAATTAGCGTAATACTGAGAATGTGCACACAGCCAGATTTAGGCGTATCAAAGTAGTTTTTAAGATATAGTTTTTTAAATTTCCTAGCAATTGAGAACTACCAAAGTCCCTAGAAAAATACATTACATATTATTGAAAGGTAGGTATAAAATCAACTTTCCCACAGCCCCGCCCCCCCCCGCTAACAGTTCAGTACAAAGATATCATGAATTGTAATTATCCAGCGTTTTCGGACTGCTTTTTCGAATATAGATTGCTACCGTATCGCAATCGCACCGTAACGCAAAGGGAATTTAAACACCAATGGGAAAGCTTTCTTGGCTTGCGCTTAGGCTTAGGCTTAGGCGTAGGCTTAGGTTTGGCTTGGCCTAGGCGTATTAGGCTTAAGCTTAAGCTTGGGCTTAAGCTTAGGGCTTAGTCTGTGGCTTATAAGCCATTCTTAATTTTTTCGCTTGTTACTTTTGGCACCTTCCCAAGTCGTCAAAAAGTTGCAGAAGGCAGCTAGCCGGGTTGTGAGTCTCCTGTTGTAGTTTGCCCATTGTGATCCTGGCTCTCTTTTTTTGTTGCGGAGGAGCCGGATAGCCGCCTTTTCTTTGGGAGTGCCATATGAAAGGTGAGCATGGGCCCTCCGGCTTCTCCTCGTCCTCATCTGCCCCCATGGGGTTATGCATGAACGACCTCTGGCACAATATCCCACCGGAATCTTTCTTTTTCTTTCAAGCCACGTTTCGGGGTTTCTTTAGACGGCACATTCGGAACGCGAAAAAACTTCCGCGCCCGCGCGTTTGGAACTTTGCGACTTTCGGTCTGATACACATTTTTTGGGTGGTTCTATGAATTTTATGATTTTATTTATGGATTTTTGCATGTTTTTTACAGGATTTATAAAAACGTGCGTGGTTTGCAAAGAATGTCGACACTTAAACCCGAATAAAAGAAAAATTACAGGTCCGGGAACATCCTAAAACGCAGACATGGCAATTCCGATCGGCCGAGCCGCGCGGCCGGGCCGGCGGCCTAATTTCCATAAAAAACGCGGCCCCCTACGAGCCGCCGTAATTAGTTACTTCCGGAAACGCGGCTTCGCCGCATTTTCTTCTTCGGCTTCGGCGCGGCCGAGCCGCATTTTCATCGCGGCTCGGCCGGGCCGCCGCGGCCAAGCCGCAAACCGGAAGTAGCTCTTCTACATACCAAAAAAGCCGCGAATTTCATGCGAAATGGAAATGGAAATGAGAAAATTAAGGCTGTCGAAAATAAATCCTCCTCGTTAGCAAGCTAAATACCCATTACATCTCGGATTTGCGTACCGGAAGTTCTCAAAACTCATTTGGATGCGGCCTTAAAAGCCGCGCGGCTTGGCCGCCGTGCGGCCTCAAAACGGAAAAAAAGCCGCGGCCGCACCGGAAGTGCGGCCAAGCCGCGCGGCCCGGCCGCATTCTAATTTTTGCGGCCGAAAAAGCCGCGCGGCCCGGCCGATTGCCATGTCTGCTAAAACGTAATAAACTTTCATTGAAAGCTTGGAAAAAATTTTAGACGGATAATTTTCGCTGTAATTTATAGGTTTAGGTAGACTTTAAAGCGCTGCCGACGGCATGTGTCGATCCCCCCTGATCAACAAATTGGCAAGTAGCCAACAGGGCAGAGAGCGCGCCCTGGGGAGAGGCGCAGAGACATTTTCTTTTTCCGCGCGTAATCGATTGACTATGCCGTCGGCATCCCTTTAAGGTCTTCATCCTCTTCTTAAGCCCAGGCATGATTTTATAAGTTTTGTGAGATTTGTAGTGAAGTTTATTGAGTTTCAAAACTTGGCTATAGGACATATAAATCCTGTAACGCCTCTAAAATGTCAAAAATTGTAGTTGGATGCGTAATCTGCGGATTTCAGCAGATGTCCGGTGCCAACACTTTTCCTCTTCATTCCTATGCAAAAAAGTGTATCTCGTCGTCATACTAATTATTCGCTGGAGACGTCCATAAAAGAGAAAAGCGGGGGCAAGGGGAACGGGGAGGCCACAACGAGGGGCCAAACTTTTGCCTAATTGGATCCATCCATCCGAAGGGTGCTTTTGTTTCGTTTGGCCTAGCTTGACTGCTTTTTTATTTTATACTATCGAGTGGTGACCCTGGAGGCTCCGTTAAACGTCAAATTCCGAATTTTGGAAGCGTTCAGGGCGCCGTAGAATTTGTGACGGACTCTATGTAGTCTCTTGGTGCCATTTTCAGAGCATTTTAGAATAACCCTCGCAACAGGCTTATCATCCTTTCGTTTTACACTTTTTTGTTTGCTAAATTAAATGCGGCTTTCGTACTCAACCAATAACAAAATCTAGATGCAACCTGGCACGATATGGTGGCCTTTACTATGCTTAATCGGCAAAATCACTGCCCAGGACCTCAGGCAGTTTGACAGCGATGATCGGGTAAGAATTGATAATCGTAAGTTTCTGCTATGGTAAATTGCTGATAGGATAAAACAGTAAAGTAATGTTGTTTTAGAACGTTTATCATATAGCAAGGATTCTAGTAATTATACAAACGTAATATTTTTCTAGAAAGTGATGCGAATCTTCGGCTCCGCATCACCAGCTGGAGGTGGAAGGCAAGACGATGCCGGGGAGGTCGTCGACAAAGAGAGCATCTACCAGCAAGGGTATCGTTGAAAGATCATAGCTTTATGATATTAATAAGGATTTTTTAAAAATCATTTTCCTGCAGGCAACACGGCCAATTCCTACAATTCCTGCGTCGAATCGGTTACGACAGAGGTCAACATCCGGAAAATCCGGATGGAGGTAGGTTTTTGAGCTTGAAATCTATCTGGCTTATGCTTAGGGCTGAGGCCTAGGCTTAGAATATTACTTGGGCTTAGGCTCCGGCTCAGGCTCAGGCCTACGCACAAGCTCAGACCTCAGCTTCTGTTCCAGAACCCGTCCTGGTCACCATCTCGCTCCTAATCTCCAATATCCGCTCGGTGAGCGAGATCAACATGGACTACTCGCTGGAGATATTCTTCCGGGAAACCTGGCGGGATTCCCGGCTCGCCTACGGCCCCAACGACTTCAACAAGGTCAGGTAGCGGCCGAGTAAGCGCCACTTTCAAGGCATATTCTTGAGCTGAACCCTCCTTTCAATTCTGGGACTCCAGACAAAATCTGTAAGTTTGCGCACTGTACGCGAATTATGCATGGACGCTTTTAACGCTCGGATAGAAAAAAAATATACTAATAAAAGTACAATATTTGTATAGTTAAAAAAACGTTAATAAAGCCTAAAAAACCGCTTTAAAAATTATCGAAACAAAGGCTTTGCCCGCTTGCACAACATAACAAAATCTTTGTCTGTCTCCTCGCATCCGCTTCTGAATTCTTATAATTTCTTCGTGAATTTTCCCCTTTTTAGGGCTTCCACAAAGCACGCGCTGGCTTGCAGACGATCATCTCGTTGCACGAGTCGTACGCCGACTTCTTGTGGCGACCCGACACTTTTGTGCCAAATGCCATCAACTCGAAGACGCCGCGGGATGATAGTTTTACGCATCGCTCCTTGTACAGGTTGGCGAAATACAGAAATGTAATGTGATGGTTCTTTGGCATTATCGGGGGGGGGGGGTAATTTTTCCTGTGGGTCCAGAAATGTTTGATCGTGATAGCAACTACCTTGATAGTTTCCATGTGCCTTTTTAAGTGGAAAAGGACCTAGGAAAGTTAGACAATAATTATCACAAATGTAAATTTTTTTGATAAAAAATCTATAATTATTTATTTTTAATCAAATTCTGCAAAAATTTTACGCCGATAAATTTTAATAAACATCGTAAAAAAACATCATCCATTTATAACGGAAGATTGGGTCCTAAGAAAATGCCCCCCCCCGGATAATGCAAAAGTACCATTGAAAAAGCTATAAAACCCTGCCAAATTCCCTAGCATTCTTCAGGCTAACCGACAATGGCACTGTCATCACTAGTCGCCGAATATCGCTGGTGGTGGAATGTAGTTTGGATCTTACGAGGTAAGTTTTATCTCATTTCTGGCTGATTATTTTAGATACCCATTCGACAAGCAGCTGTGCAAATTAGGGCTAGAAAGCTGTAAGTTTTTTTGAAACATTAGAAACAATTTTCTGTCCAAGATGGCTACACCGCCAACCAGATCACCTACAACTGGGCGGTCGATAAGAACCCGTTCGAGATGTACCCGATTAAACTGCCCGATTTTGAGATAGAAAAGGCATATGCGACGAAACGGGTTGTCGATTATACTACTGGTAAGACCGGAAAGCAAGAAAAATGTTGAGGTTATCTTTTCCAGGAAGTTACACCCGATTGTACGCTTGTTTCCTATTCTCACGCTCGGCGGGGTATTGCTATCTGCAGTTGATCGTACCTTCCGTAGCCATAGTTATCACGGCATGGCTGAGTTTGTGGCGGGAGAGCGAGTCTTCGTTTGAGGTTTGTACTTTTCTAACTAAAATCTAAATCCTAAATCGTAAAAATAAAATAACGAGTAAATGAAAAAACAAAGATCTATTTTACAATATGTAAAACCGACGCTATTTCTTTTTGAACCCTTTTTAAACCAAAAACATCTCAAATATACCATGAAAAACCGGAACACAATTTCAGGACATGATCACGATCCTGATGTCCATCATTTTCTTGTTGTACTCTTACAACAGCGTGATGCCGCGAGTTAGCTACATCAAGGCCATGGATATCTACCTAGGTATTTCAGCCCTTCAAATAGCTCAACTTCAAATTTATACTAGGCGTTTGTTTTTCGATCGCCTTCCTCGCCCTCATCAAACTTTCCATAATGACGTTTGTCAAGGTGCAGATCAGCAGGTATATCCCTGAAAGCTTCAAATGTTTAAAATCGTAAAAAGGTTCTAAAAATCTTTGTAAATTTCTGTAGTCCCGGTGACACGGAGGAAATGTAAGTTACTCTTTTTGTCCCTAGATTGTCCTGAAAAATGATCAAAATAAACTTACGGAGTAATTCGCCGCCTAATCTTCCCCAAAACTTGATCTTATTTTTTTCTACCCGTTTAGATAAATTTTATTACTACACTTTGATGTATACTTTTAGGGAAAACGCTTCCGCCAATGGCTACATCCAGGTGAATAAGGACCCGCCGGCCGAGGAAGAACCCGCGCAGCGTTTGAGGCGCTGGATATTTTCAGAGCGGTGTATGCACATTTTTCACGTCTGCACACAGGTTAGTAATTTCAAAACGGGTGAAAAATTAAACTTGAAAAAAGCGATTAAACTTCTAAAAACCGGAAAAAGCGCTAGAAAATGTAGAAATGCTGAAAAAACCCTTTAGGTGGGCCTATTCTTATTCTTCACCGGCTTCTGCACCTTTTTCTTCCTCGTCTACCCGCGATTGCCGTACCATATTGATGATCCGGATTGTGATCCACTAATTGCCGTCGCGAGCGCGGTCAAAATTTAGCAATTGATCCTTTAAAATTCGCTCCTAATTAAAGTTAGAATTAAACTACCCCCACTTCATGAAGATATTTTTGTTATGTCTAGACCGAAAAACGGGTCGAGTTTGAGCTTTTTGTTGTGCTTCTCGTAGTGCAATAAAGTTTATCGACAACACCTACAACACACAAACTAGAAAAACGAACGAAAATACCAGTAGCGGCGGTGAACGACTAAAGATCAACTAACAAAAACGGGCACACGCTCAAAAACCGGATAACTGTTCAACAGCAAGACAAAAACTAAACTAAACAAAACTATACAAGAAATGGACAAAATCAACAAGTAACACTTCAAAGTTTTGGGACATCAGCGGCAAGGGGTTCGGCCTTCGACGACTCGGCCGCTCCTTCCGTTTCGAAGACGATCTTGCTCTTCAGCTTGTCCAACTCGCCCTTCAGCTCCTCGCCGGAAGTGACCGGCTTCAGGCAGGCGGTTCTAAAGAGATATTTGGTTTTTATTAAAAGCCCAACCCCTTGCAAATATGTACAACCGGCTTGTCGGCACCCTTCAGGTAATCCTTGAAGCGTGGCGAGTTTTTGAGCAGCCAAGAATTATCTAGAAGAAATAAACTGAACATGGTTTGTAGTTTATACCTTTATTGGCAGGATCCAAGAAGATCACTTCCTTATTCAAGACATGCACCCCTTGGACATAGTCGATGAAGGTTTTCGTGCGCGGATCATCCCTTGGGCCGACGATGACAATCTTGACGCTGTCCTGCTCGATCAGCCTCTCGTAGCCGGCGAGGATTTTCGGGAGCACGAATGGGAATCTAAAACAAATGCTTCATTAAGCGAAGCGCGTTAAAACCCACTTCTTAATACGGCTCGCATATCTTCCGGCAATGGCCAGCGCTTTTTGTTTGTATTTGTCGTCCTCGAGCAGTTCGGCGAGCCGGACGAGATTGCACAACGCCACGGAAGTGCTGCACGGCTCGGCTCCATCATTATCTAAACGGAGCATTTTGGAAAATCCTAAGAGTCCACCTGCAAAAATTTTACTACAAACAATACAAAAGGTAGAAGAAAGAAGAAAGAAAAAATTTATATAGAAAAATCCCTCGCCCCCGAAAATGCAAAAGAGCCAAGCTTTTCCGTAAAAATTACCGTCAATAACCTTCATCGCTGGTCCATCGCTTGCAGTTTTCGAGCCAACCGTATAGCCACCGCCCTCTTCGTCCCAATAGTTGCTATCGAGGTGCTCCTGTAATAAATTTACCTTCGCCACGCGGTTTAAAAATTCACCTCCAAATTAACGGCCATCTCGAGGTGCTTCTCATCAAAAGTCACTTGATAAAGATCCAGCAGACCCTGGATGACAAAGGCGTAGTCCTCAGAAAAAGCTGGCACCGGATGCTCGCTAAAAACAGTTTTAAGAGCCTAAAAAAACCTTACATTTGAGCGAGTCGGCCATCATCACCACGGTAGGCCGCCCTTCTCAAGTCGCCGTTTTCCGTGATCAAGTGCTGCTTGATAAATTCCACGTTTTTCATGGCCCGTTCGAGAATGGCCGGGTCTTTTAGGGTGATGAAAGCTTTGCTGAGACCACTAAGACAATTAAAATTAAATGAAACTTTCAGGAACATTACCTCAGCATCAGCCCTTGCCAACAGGTGACAATCTTCGAGTCGAGGTGGGGTTTTGGCCGCAGGGCGCGGCGTTGGAATAGGAAGGACTAAAAAATATAAATTTTGTGTTTTTATTGTTGTTTCTTTTTGCCTTATAACTCCGCTAACAAGGGAAGGGCACATGCACAGGTTGGAATTTCGAAAAACGCTCGCGGCTACCCCGGGGTAATCGACTACGGAGAACACGATGCTGTCGTCCGATTTTCCTGCCGAGCCCTGTGGACAGAGATACAGCACTTCCGGAAAATCATGATTTACATGCGAAAAATTATAATCCGGGGAAGGTTTATTAGGCTCGCTCATCAGTATGGAATCACCAGTCGAGTGGCCGATTGGTAAGCAACTCGCTTGGTAGGATACTGATGAGGGTACGGATCCGCTCGTGATTTTTTCGTTTTGCTTTTTGACAAAATTTTTTGCACATGTCCAGAACCTTTCCTAAATGTGTAAAAAGACGCATTTGTGGCCCTGTAATACGTCTAGCAATCAAACAAAAACTTTTTCGAAAATTTTATTTTTGCGATCTTTTGGGCACCCCACCCACCGGCTTATCAAATTCAAAAAATCTGGAAAATTTTTATAAAAGCGCTGTCTAACCAACTTGCCAAGGCCGTGCAACAGAATAAGGTGCTACAAAACCAAACGAGAGCGTGACGCTTGGCTTCTGCAAAAATTTTCCCGCAGAATTTTTGATCGCTTGGCAGTCGATGATGGGTGGAGGGTCGGAAAATAGAATTTTCGAAAAAGTTTTTCTTTGATTGCTAGACGTATTACAGGGCCACAAATGCGTCTTTTTACACATTTAGGAAAGGTTCTGGACTTGTGCAAAAAAATTTGTCAAAAAGCAAAACGAAAAAATCACGAGCGGATCCGTACCCTCATCAGTATCCTACCAAGCGAGTTGCTTACCAATCGGCCACTCGACTGGTGATTCCATACTGATGAGCGAGCCTAGTAAACCCTCCCCGGATTATAATTTTTCGCATGCAAATCATGATTTTCCGGAAGTGCTGTATCTCTGTCCACAGGGCTCGGCAGGAAAATCGGACGACAGCATCGTGTTCTCCGTAGTCGATTACCCCGGGGTAGCCGCGAGCGTTTTTCGAAATTCCAACCTGTGCATGTGCCCTTCCCTTGTAAGACCTACGCCATTCAGAAATATAAGACTTTGATCTTGAAAATTACCTTGGCTTCCGAAATAGCCGCTTTCAGCTCCCCATCGTTGAGCCCGAAAGCCTCTGCCACTTCCGCATCAGGGTGGCGCACGATGAGTACATTTAGGCCTTTCAGCTCGCCGTGAGGGTCCTGTAAAGCTGATGCTCAAACAAGGAAAGATATAATTCACCGAATCAGGCGCTACATTCCCGGAATCTTCGATGTTGTAGTACATCTGGATGACGTCGGCCAGTGGGTGTTCGCCGGCCTTCCAATTTTTGAGGACTTCTTGTACTTCGGATAACTTCCAGACACAGAAAGCTCCTAAAACGCGGAAATGATTATAAGAAGGTCCAAAAACCTTCTTTCTTATGTGTAGCACCCTCTTCCGGTAGAGAGTCGGCATCTTCAGCGCTGTAGAAGCCGCCAGACTAGATAGATATATACCTTCAAAATAGACCTCATACCTCATGCGTCAAATTGGCGTCGACGTACTCAATGATGTCCTTGATTACGTGCTCGTATTTGCCTGTCAATTGGTGCCACTGGGAGTACGTAGCAAGAAGTTGAGCCTGAACACAATTTTGAGCTTCAGCATAACAATTAAAGCCTACCTGATCGTAGAGCATCTTTTCAAAGTGCGGCACATGCCACTCTGCATCAACGGCGTATCGATGAAAGCCCTAAATAAGTTATTAACGGAATTAATAAGTGTTCAAACCTTTCCAATATGATCGTGAATTCCTCCTCGATCCATTGCGTACAACGTTTTGTCCAGCATCTCCACCGCTTTATCATAGTGCGGATTTGCAGGGTATTTGACTGCCAGCTGGATGAGTAGGTCGAGGTCAACTAAACGAGACAAATCACAGATTTATCCCAAGTTTTGTATATACCTGGTTTTGGAAACTTTGGCCCGCCGCCAAAACCCGCATAAGTTTTGTCAAACTTTTTCGCGAGGTAGTCGTAGGTGGCGGCTTGAGCGGCTGCTGGGGCCGGCTTTTCGTCTAGCTTCTCGGTCGCCAAAAGGGAGCGTTTCAATTCCCGTACAATCTGGTCGCCCTGTTCAACGATTCCGGTCGGGTCCTCTTGCCACTAAAAATAGGAATATATAAGATTTTATACAAAACATACAGCTTTTGCGATGGTCATCAACAAATTCGAGAATCCGGGGCGGAACGGGGAACCGGTGGGCGGGAAATAGGTTCCTCCAACAAAGGGAGCAAGAGCGGGCGTGAGAAATACGGACATTGGCCAGCCGCCACTTCCAGTTGTGGCCTAAACGATACATTTTTTTTAACTCTAGGAAGCAAGAATTGACGTCATTACTTACCTGAATAAAATTCATATACATTCGATCAACGTCCGGCCGCTCTTCTCGGTCGACCTTGATCGACACAAAGTTCTCGTTCAAAAACTTTGCAATGTGCTCGTTCTCAAACGACTCCTTCTCCATTACGTGGCACCAGTGGCAGGTTGAATAACCAACTAAAATCCCTATTTTATCGAACTGATACGCTTACCTGATAGAAAAATGGGTACATTTCGATCACGGGAAGCTTGGAACGCTTCTTGACCCCAGGGATACCTAAATTGGGTAACAAGTTAATTTTTAATTAATACCAATCGATTGGGTTATTCTTATGTTGAAGCAAATACGGCGATCTCTCGTTGGCCAGTCGATTTGTGTGCGCCATTCTTATAGAACTAAAAAAATGTGTCAGAAACTGACCTAACTTCCTACCTCAAACTCAACAAGCTCGTTCGGGTTTTCGGAAAAAGTCTGGCCAGCCAAGGCATCCGGGCTTCAAAAGAGCAGCGAAATGTTTGGACACACGAATAGCGCTTCTGCTTGTGTATCTGAAATTTATTGCGTTGAGAGGAACTGTCGGTACACGAAAGACTGAGGGAAAGTTGAAGGCAAAAAAGATCAAGTTCAATCACAGTTCGGATACTTTGGAGCACCTTTATAAATAAAAACAAGGAACGAGGCGAAAGTTTAAAGATAAACAGTATTATAAGTTAATAACTCCTGGATTTTGGGAATCAAGGCATTTTTTGGTGAGCAGGTATATGCGACGAGTTTTAGGGGAAGGTTAATGCATAAATATGAGAGCTTATAAATTTGTTGATGGGCAGAGATTGTCGATAACATCAGCCAGGGGCAGCATTTTCGATTCAGGAATGAGCTTGAACTCCCTAGCGAATAGAATAAAGTGCTTTAGCGAGGTGTTGAGGTGACTTCCGGCTGAGAGCTTGTTTACCCTAAATCGTTATTTGGTAACTCTTTTTATGATACTTACTCGTTCAAATGCGCATGATAAACATGGGCAAAAACGCGAAAAAGCTGGCACATAATTCCCTCGCAGATCGAGATGAAGTCGGCTGGGAAGGGTTTGCCGAGCTGAAAATTTATGGCCATAAATCTTCGTTTTTCTATTTTTTTTTGATTGTTATATCTTTCTGGCACCCACTTGGCTCGGAAATATCGTCTCGTCATCCAGCTGCTCCTGGATCCCCGTCAACAAATATGAAATGTACATCGGGGCGGTGGTGTGCAGGGTTTGCTATAGCTTTTTAAGGCTGTTTAGCTGATTTCAAACCTTTTGGCTATCCTGGAAGTCGTATTCGTGACCCTGGACGCTCATTTTTGGGCAGCTCGAGCTCGTGCAAATTGTGTCCAGCATGCCGTAGAGCATGCAGACTTGGTTTGACAGGTCTGCAATGTTCACCGCCAGCCATTCGTTTATATCTTCGCCCTGAAAGTTTATTTTAAATTAACCGTAGGTTTTGATAATTTAAAAGCTGCTAATGAAACAAGGGCTAAATTATCGCGGAGAATTACGAGCTGAAATTACACGTTTTAACGTATTTTTAAAGCATTTATTTCCGCAAATCTAACCTTTGGCAATCGCACAGCGTCCCGCAAGTTTCCGGATCCGAGCGTTTGGCAATCCATACTATCCTTCAGGCTGGCCATCCAATTTTGCTGTCCTTTAGTGCACCAAGATTCCGCTTTGGGACCGAAAACACGTTTCAGCACAGCGAACCCTGCCCTTCCAGCCGATGCAAAGCGCCCCCAAAGGAATGTTATCGCGTAAACAAGTTAGCCGAGAACGCGCGCTTGGCGTTTGTATGGAGTAGCACGTCGGAATGTCCGGTCACAAACATTCCGTTACGCACCAAATTACGCCCTCTAAACTGCTCACTAGCCGGGGTGGAAAAACTTAGTAAAGTTGTTTTGCCAGTTTCCGGACCAGAAACGTTTTCAAATTATAGTAAGGGCCTTAAAATTTTTCAGAAAAAGCATATTTTCTGAAAAAAGGGTCTCGATGTTCCTTTCCGTTCAAAAAAATAGAAAAGTATCTAAAAAAACTGTTAAAACATATCATGGATGGCCTAGGTTACTTGGAAAGGAATCGATTACGTATGATTTTCCTCCGCACATAATAGAACAGTACCAACGCACTTTTCGTTTCTTTTTTGAAACTACAAACGATACGAAAGCTCTTTACTTTCCAATCCCACTGTGTGTTGCACAAAACCCCCAAGGGTCCTTCCCGATTCCGGCCATTTCCTAAGCACACGCCCGGCCAAATTGTGTTCAGGGAATCACGGGGGTGTACAGAGGACAATCCCGGAAATTGAGAGAGCACTTCCAGCCGGCCACGACGACGATGGAATTAATTGGTGCTCAGCCCCCAATGGATTCGGTTTCGTTGAGGGGATTCTGGAGGGAGAACGAACGGCGCGGTGGATTACCAGCTGGTGGCATGCATCTTGCTTTTTTTTCGGAGGCCGCGATTTAAAGGAAATTTCGTTGTTCCTGATTTTTTTTCGGGGGTTAAATGGGTTGCCGAAGGCGTTGACGTCGTGGTGTCTGATTGTAATGCTAGACTTATCCGACGGATTGCTCCCTAATTTTATTCCTTTCCCAAAAATGTCTCGATTTTAGCGAAGGAGGCGGAGCTCAACAATTTTTTAGCGTTATAAAGCTAAAAAGCCGGTGTTTTGCCAGTGTTACTGTGTTTTAGTTTTAAAAAATGTCACTGTATGGGATTTTTTCGGTTTAAAAATCACACTGACGATGAATTTTCATTAACAATTAACAAATTTTTATTTTTATTTTACAGATCTTTTGAGTTAAATTTGAAAACAGCTTTTTAATTAAATTCTTAAATATTAAAAAACGAATAAAGGTTGCAACTCCTAAAAAAACCCGACCTTTTTCGAGAACTTGGATCGGTCTAGACCTTAATATCGTCGGGTTTCAAAAACTAAGAAATGTGCGTTTTAGCCAGCTTCGTATACGCTACGATACGCTTCTCTGAACACCTCTACCATGCATTTGCTATGCCAATTAGACTTACAGACGCCTTGAAACGAAAAACGAAACCTTAATTTTTATGAAAAATGAACAATTTTTAATATTTCACTTTATTTAACCTTAAAATTATCTATTATGAACTATCTACTTTCACCTATTTTCGGCCCCCTTCACCTTCATCCCCAATCCATATGCCATAAATCAGTTGGGGGACCCGGCAATTTGCCGGGCCATAAGTCCAAATTGACGACGTCCAACCACCCGAAAGAAGCACGTTAAGGAGCCCGAGCTCGTAAATCCATCCCCCGGTTAAGAAGAGGGTCTGGTAGAGGCTGGCCATTCGGTCGAAATGGCCGGCCATCATGATCGTGGGCCACTTTCGTGGGGTCCATGCGCCCCGTAAATCCATCCTCTTGCCGGGGAGACTGACAATTTTCGGCTGCGAAGCTGTGGTTAGAAATGGATTTTAAAGAGTCATGCCTATGGTCAAGCCCGAAAATCATAAATCTTATTGTTTTTAGGCGTTAAGTGTGAAAATCGTAACTTTTCGCTTTTTTGGGAGGTTTTTGCGTATTTAAAGGGATCGGCAAGGCAAGGGATCGGAAGTTGAGTCTGATCTCTTAATTTTTTAGGCTGTTTACACATATTTTTGGATGTTTTCGTGGTATTGAGCTGACTACTGGTAGCTGACACGCACATGCGCATTGAAAAATATTGCTTGTCGGTGCCAATTTTCAAGGAATTGTTCTAAAAAGCTTAAATCTTGCTGGAAACGCGTTAAAACGCTGAATTTTTCTTCTAGAGGCCCAAAACGACACAGTATTTTATGCAATGGAAAGCCAGGAGCTGCGCGTTGCGTGTGGCGAGCCTTAAAATCCGTAATCATGTCTTACACGTACCTTTAATCAAGAATTATTCTTTGTTGACGACTACCCAATTCCAGCGTCAGGATTACGTGATAACCGGCGGCCCAAAAAGTCATGATGCCCCCTTGGCTTGCTTTTTCGGCATCGGCTACCCGCTTGAGACGTTCCCACGGCCGGGCTAAAATTTGGTGAATGGCGCTAGGGGCTGGTGGCTCAGTTGAAAGGGTTGTTTTTCATCGGCCGACCCCCGTGGAATCGCATGATTTCGTTGAGGCTGCCAATTTATGAGGATTTCTTGGGGTTGACTTGTGACCGATCACGTTTATGCCGACAAAATATGATTAAAAAGCCGAGTCGCTCTCGCTTTAAAGTTACAAGTTTTAACACTTTCCGCAAAATCAGCATTCTACGGTCCCTTCAATCTTGAAAAATATTCAAAAAAAGCGCCCAAAAAAGGTATTAGTGTGGTGGAAATCAGCCCTGTCATCGCTAAATTACGCCGATACGTTGCGCCACGTGACTACGTCACCTTACCTTGCGCATGCACGCCACTACGTTGCGTATTACTGTTTACGTATTTGGAAATTGTTGATCTTTCTATGTACCATTACATATATTTTTTCATGTTTCAAACCAGCATTTGAACTTCTCCCTTGACTACGTTACGCTACGATTGACGCATGCGCATTCGAGCATTAGCTCCAAAAAACCTTTAGTTTACCCTTTAAAACATCCCGAACCGTCCTAAACCTTTTAGAACCAATCTGCCGCCTATTTTTCACTCAATTCCGGGTCTTGCTCCCGTCGCTCCCACCGTAACCCTCACCCCCGCCAATGCCTAACCATATTTCAGCCCGGCTCCACGCAATTTTGCACCCCCATTTTCGGTCGGCCAGGCCAGGCGCTCACGCAAATCGTAAATTTACGCGGAACTGGTGGTTTTTGGGGGCGGGAAAAGGGAGGTTTTCGTGGTGGGACCCACTGCCAGCTCTTTGCCCCCATCCCGGAATCCATCGGCATATGTCAAGATTGGGGCCATAGATTTCGGGGGTCCCACCCCGAAATTTCGTTGGTTCCCGGGCCAAACCGCCCAGTTCCGCGAAGTCTTCAGCTGGTTTCCGTTTTAAAGGAGCGTTGAAGGCTAAGCGGTTCTTTTGCATTACCGTGGGGTGGCAAGGAGCAATCAAGTCTTTTTGTAGTCATTTTAGTAAAATTTCACTATATTTCAATTGAAAAAACAATCGATATTTTTAAACATTGGCTTCTCCCGCCGATACCCCCCGATAAGGCAAAAGGTCCGGAGTAGCCTACTGATAAGCTAAGCCTAAACCTAAGCCTAAGCCTAAACTAAGCCTAAGCCAAACCTGACCTAAGCCAAAGCTAGACAAAAGCTAAGTCTAAGCTAAGCCAAAGCTAAGCCGAAGCTGAGCCTAATCCTAAGCCTAGGCCTAAGCTCGAGCTCAGTAGCTAATATTTTTGGCTAGAAAATTTGACTTTTGGCACGTCCAAGATGCCTTGTTGACATCTCGCAGCGATTCTTCCGATTTTGGCACCCGGCCAAGCGTGAATAAATCGCGGGCGCCTGGATTCGAGCCGGATTCTTTAAACAGGCGCGAATTCCTGAAGCAAATGTATAATTTTTGCAGTCGACTTTGTTTTTCAGGGCTTTGGGGTGCAGAATAGAGTCGATACTTTTGATAAAACGTGAGGGTCGATCACGCTATCATGGCTCGGTGGCAGGGATGGTCATTTCGGGACCCGGGTCAGACCCGGACCCCGACCCGGACCCGGTCCGGACCCGGACCCCCCATTTCGGGGGTCCGGGTCGGGTCCGGGTCCGGGTCCGGGTCTTTTGAAAATGACCCGGACCCCCGAGCGATTCTTCGGAAGAGAATGCAAAACGTAAATCATTCAAATACTACATTGAAGTTTGGAGGCATCTATCTGAAGATCAATACGTCATATTCAGTTATTAACACTTTAATACGTTCAACAATTCAGTTTTCGATAGTAAATTGATCGGGCTAGACACCATTCGGCCCTCGAGATCATTTAACCATCGTAAAGCGAGTACTTTTCAAGTATAGCAGAGAAAAATTTGCATTTCGAGCCAGTCTTGTATTTCCGGTGCAGAATAAACTGGGGGGTCCGGCTCACTCTCAAAAGATCCGGACCGGGACCCCGACCCGGACCCGGACCCCCATTCCGGGGGTCCGGGTCCGGGTCAAGACCCCGGGTCAAAATTGGGGTCCGGGTCCGGGGTCCGGGTCCTTTCGTGACCAACCCTGCTCGGTGGCTAAATCTCGTTAAAGGCTGCTACAGCGATGCGTAGTTGTCTACACCTAGTCAGCGGAAGGGGTCGATCCTCACGCTTGCTGGTTCCTTTAATTCTCCAGAAGAAACTGAAGTGTTTTCTTTCATAGTCTTTTGAGTTTTTTATGCGGACATTCTGAATCGCAGTCAACTCGATTAACACGACGGGTATGTCGAGACCCAGTAAATAGGAGGGGTAGATTTTTACGCTTACTGATCCCTTTAAGCCCTCCAAGAATCCCTAAAATAATTTAAACGTTTTTTGTATGTTTTATAATATTTTTTGAATCTCGACAAACCCGACCAGCAGGACATGTGGCCCCAAAAATGAACGGGGAACAAGAAGGACGCACCCAACAAAGTTATGCAAATTTTTGCCTCGGCTGCCAAGTTCGGCAGCCCCCCCCCCCGCACGCGGAAACTTCCCGGGGCAATAAATATTTGATTTTTTGG